AATATTATAATAGTAATAGTAAGTACATTGAATGGGTTAAAGCCACAAACATAACTGCGGGGCTTCACCTGGAAGGAAATCATTGTCGAAATAGGGGGTTTTCCCTCCAAGCAACTCGTGAGCGATGGGGACTTGTGGGGATGCCCAAACAATCCCCTTTTTACCAGGGAATCTTGGGTTTCTAAACCACCCGAACCACCAGTTATCCATCGGTTGAGATATGTTATATATAGCAAATCTAGAGGTCTCCGAAAAGAACAGATGATACTTCCTCCATAATTTCCAAGTGTCCAACGTTTCTAGTTTTGTTTTGGAACTATACATCTATACTATGATCAACCCATTGTGGCTAGGGGAAAGCCTTGGATCAACCATTGGAGCATGACAAACCCAATCCCGTTTTCTCCACGCCGAGACACGGTGGCCCCACTGAGCGCATGCACCTCGTGTGTCTATAGAATTTCTCAATAGAATCTACGGACCAACCGACCTACCTATTGAACTAGGCTAAATATACAATGGAAATGTATATTCTACGTGCATTCTATATGTATAAACATAAATATAGACTCTTAGACTTCTGTAAGTTTTCTATATATGTTTCTTGTTTGTGTTCTAGTTCTATGTCATAAGTCATGACTGTAAAGATCCGGTTCTCCAAAATGGTTCTCCCATTGCACCATTTATCGGGCATCCCATCGGCCAGGAGAACTTAAACAGAAGGGGTTGATTTGTCACTGAACCCCAAACCTAGTTTTTTTTTTAAAAAAAACACATTGCCTCTCTCATTTGAAGTGTTTCCTAAAGATGTAAAATCTGTAAGATGTTATCAAACGTGGATGCAGCATAATGTTTTCAGCTTTGTGAATATGTTGACAGCACTGCTACGCATCTGCAGCCTGGATTTTGAGTTGTTCCAGTTCCACATAGTCTGCCTGCGGACCACCGCGTCAACAACAGGCTGGAAACCAAAGAATGGGTGAACAGTGAACAACTATATCATATCAGCGAGTGGATGCTTGGTACGTGACTATTGCTGATTGGTGGTTTCAACCCCTCTGAAAAATATGAAATTCAAATGGGATTATTATTCCCGATATATGGAAAAATAACAATGTTCCAAGCCACCAACCAGATTGCCTTGGTATCCCTTGGGGAACAGGTGAGCTATGAAAACTTCATTCATACATATCTATGCATCCAATGATTGCGGGGTTGAATGCTGGGACGTTTCCATGGTGGAGTATACGTGAACCTGGTGGAAGAAATGTAAAATAATTGTGGAGACACCCAAGGTCAAAACGCAACATATACTCTGGATGATTTATGGAAATAAAACGTCAACTTCAAAATGATAAAGTCATTTTCCTTGCTTTCCAGCTCCAAATGTTCCCAACTATCATCAACTATAAGACCATGGTGTCCGACCAAAATATTACATATAGACACCACACCCTGAAAGTCAGATGACTCCTTCCCCCCGCGACAGCATTGATACCCTGCAATTACACCATGGGTAATTGATGAATCATTTGGATGTTCTGGAATACTGCGGGTGGAAGAAATCTAGCACCAGTTGGTAGATTGGCAAAATCCCGTTATAATCCCATTCTTTACACTGTCTCATGGTTACTAGTAGTCAGCAACTGGCGCAGAGTCTTCCATCCACACTATCTTCCATCGATTTTTCCATTGTTTACACTGCCTTCACAGTTCGCAATAGATAGCAACTATTCCATAGAAATCCCAGACATATTATATAATATATATATTAAGTCACCAGCAGATAGAATATTCAAGAAACACTGGACAACAGATAGAATAGGCCAAAACGCCATCAGCAAATCCAACAGATAGAATATTCAAGATAAGCAAAAACATAAAGAAACTATATGATTTTGATGATTTTAGCAACCAAATGAAGAGATAGAATATTCTCAACTGCAAAAATGATGTATCCCTGAAATCATTGATTCTCTATGGGATTACTGGAATAATATTGCAGTTTGTTTCAATGGTTTCCATACCTTAAATCATTGACTATCTATGGGATTGCTGAGAAAAAATGATGCATTGGTTTCAGCGTTTTCCATGATGTTATATTTCTGAAATCATTGAATATCTATGGGATTGCCGGGAACACGTTGCATTTGGTGTCAATGTTTTCCACAATAGTGTATCCCTCAAATCATTGAATAGCTATGGGATGGCTAGGAAAACATTGCATGTGGTTTCTACTAATTGCACATCCAAACACATGAAAATCGTATTCTTGCTAAGGTTTTTGCTAATGTTTTCCTAATATATTATATTTATAGAATGTGACCACTGGCAGCCAGCAAAGCTGGCACCGCCAATCTGAATATTCTATCTGTTGATTTTTGAAGACCGTTTAAAAAGGAAATTCTACAAATATATATTGATAACATAATATTTTGGAATTCTTCCAAAACCATACCTCCAACATCTCCCACCGACCACGCGCTGAGAAAACGCAACTGATTTTTTCTAGTATTCCTATATATATATGTAACTTTGGCTTGGTATTCAATGCAGAAACGCAACTGAATGTTTCTATTTATACCGTTGAAATTTGCAAAGTTGCTGGAACGGCGCTCATCGTGCATGCTGTGATCCACAATGACATGCACAACACAACATTATTCCATAGGTTCAAAACACAAATATATATATACATGAAACCAACAGATAGAATATCCCAACAGACCAACGATACCGGTGATATTCACTTTTTGATGAAACAATTCTTATGTGGTTTCATAGATAAAATATCAAGTTCAACGAGATCACCCAAATTCACTAATTGAAACGTTAAAAGTTCATTCTTTGTTGGATACAGTAAACCATGGAGGATGCAGAAAACCTATATATATACATAAAACCAACAGATAGAATATTCCAACAGACCAATGATACCAGTGATGTTTCCTTCTTTGATGAATATATTGATATGAAATTGTTGAAATTCATTCTTCATCGAATAAAATAAACCATTGAAAATGGAGAAAACCATATATATATATATATACACGGATCCAACAGATAGAATAAGTTCAGCTTAAAATCATGTAGATTTGGAGATATATTTCCATAATTTATAAGCTCGAAATATCAACGATTTCGTATATATATATATATATATATACGCGAAATCAACATTTTGCTACTCACCTTAAACAGATAGAATATTCTCACCTGCAAACTAGGTTTCACCCGCAAAATCGTCGATCTCTGAACACTGGATAATATTCTATCTGGTAGTGCCTTAGTATACATAATATGTGTGTCTGTACGTATGTATAAAATATGTATGTATGTACATATATATATATATATATAATTACATATGTGTGTATCATTTCCTCCATAGAAATCTCCGTGGCATTTCCGACAGACGCTGACGGCCTTCTCAGCCAGTGAGGTGGACAGAGTCCGTTCCTTGCTGAAGATCTGGTCCAACAAAGTCATGTCTGCCTGGCGGAGCGTGTTGAGCTCTTTGTGAGATAAAACAAAACACACACATCATATATATATATATAGTATATATATATATATCAATATTGTATAAACATATAAATATATAATTAAAATAATATGTATATATGTGTATATATATTATACTAAAATATAAATTAAACATTCTGTATTATATACTATATATTATGCTATCCATTAAATATAATATGTTATAAAATAAATATGATATGCATTATATGTAATATTATTATAAATTGAATATTAAATATTAAATATCATGTATGAATATTATATATGTGTGTGTTGGCTATATATTATGTGTATATCATCGTATATCATATCATATACATATTATACTAATATATATACTGTACTGTATTTATGACAGCTTTGTAGATATAGATACGTGTGGCTTCCTGGTGCTCCTTTTTTTGCCTGAAACAGCATTTATTTTTGGTCGTTGCTGGGAAAAAACGTTGCTGCCTCCCAAAAACGTTCTTGCTCCAAATGATCAAGAATAGCCAGGATGAAAGGAAACCAACACACCTGTTGCAGGTGACAGTGATGCCACAGCTGATCAAGTGGAAACAAAGTGGATTGACATGGTTTGGATGGGCTGTGAGCCCTCGAATTGCAACCTTTCGTACCATTTGACTGTGATTCGGACATTAAAAAACAACCAAAACTATCCAAAACTGGGGTACGGGTAAAAACGCTTTTGTATCGGGAAGAAACGCTTTTGTCTCGAGACACGCCTTTGTATTGGTTCAAAGCGCCGTCACCAAAATTGTTTTGCCACGAAGGCCCATCAACAAGCGTTAGTTTCAGCACAGAGCTGCTGTGGCTCAATGTTTGCTTTAAAAAAAGGTTTGGTGGAGACGTCATTTATTTCTACCCGAAAATCGTGAGGGATTTGGATGTCCTTGCACGATGGGACAGTGCTCAAAACGAACAATGGATGTGGATGACAAACATATTCAAAAATGACAAAAAAGGTCCGAGAGCAGAAATTAAGATAAGTGGTGCAGAAAAACAATTCTGACAGGAAAAGCAGAAATTAATAACATGTGGGAAGCCCTAGGTATGCAGATATATGCAGAAGATATAGATACTAGATCCTAGATATGACATAGATGGTAGATATTACAATGCAAATATCGAAAAATCTGAATCTATCGCCAAAAGGGCCCCTGCCGCCTGCCTTGCCAGATTGTAGCTCCTGCACTGTGCAAAAGTTCTATGCTTAGATTTGTCAAATCAGGCCACATCAAACAACCATGTGGATTTCATCCCCCAGTAAGATTGTGGATCATACATGAATATATGGTTAGTTATGCAGTCAGTGTCATCATTTTTCTGGGGCATGGCTTTGTCTGAAAACACTCCTACCCTTTCTTCTGCACGTTTGGCAATTTTCTGCTGGTTGGTGCTTTCAACCCCTCTCAAAAATATTAGTCAGTTGGGGTTACTATTCCCAATATATGGAAAAACAAAAAATGTTCCAAACCACCAACCAGTCTGGATCAACAATTTTCGGACGCATCACATCTACCCCCATCAGCGTGGAAGTCCCATCCGTTTTTTCGGTGCTCATTAGGCACCAGGGTCGCACAGCTCTATCAGTGAAACCAGGGCCTCGCGGCGCAGTGTAAACGGCAGCTGTTCCCTCACTGGAGTCACTGGAGAAATGTTTTTTTAAAAAATATTTGCCTCTGAGAGGGGAAAAAAAGGCAGAATTTGAGTGCCAAAAACCATGGATTTTAAATTGGAAGAAAGTATATTCAATATCATAGTTTTAAGATCCCCGCGGTTCCCCGTGTTGATGGTTCAAATCATTAGAAACAGCTGCTGATCACTAGAAACCCTGTCATTCCCGATGGCGCCTCCAGGGGATCCTCATCCTTGCTACGCACCAGGGCGATCTCCTGCAGTAAGGAGGCGAAGTCCAGAACGCCGATCCTCGGTTGGGTCAACATAAAACCTTGGCTATGGTGATTTAATGGTGATTTAGTTGTGAGTAATGGTGTTTAATGGTTGTTTTCTGGAGTTTCATAGTGATTCAATGGTGATCAATTGTGATTAATGGTGTTTAATGGGGATTTAGTAAAGATTTCAGTATGTTTTCATGGTGATTTCATGGGGGCTGAATGGGACTTACTGAGATTTCATGATGATTGGGATATGTTTGAAATATGTTTGGACACCTTAGGGATGCAACGGGATATATTATATTTTTTTATGTGATTTTATAGGGCTCAATAACATACGCTAAACATATGTTTGAAAGGTGGTATATAGTATATAAGCAACTTGGAATATAATGGGATATGATGGGATGAAATATGCCAATTGCTCATAATTAATGGAATAATGAAATTGTGAAGGAATATAATCCACGTTTGCACGATGAATGACATCACATATGTATCTTGCCATATTTATTGTTTGCATTTACTTTGCAAAAATACATAGTATCCTATGCCTAACTAACATTTTTTAACTTCAACTGAGGATAATTCTCCGTACTTGACAACTATAAAGAAATACTATAAACAGCATCACACACACACTATGCATGTCTGCAGTAAATATGTTTTCGCTCCAGGCACCATAAATCGTCAGCTGCGGCATTCTATAAATATGCGTGTGTTTGCTGAACAATCTGTACTCTGCATGTTCATGTTAAATGTAACCCGATCCGTCCGACAGATTAGATGTGCAAATAACATATCCAAATGACTCGCCCCCTCCACATGGTCACCCCTAACAAACTCCAGCGGCTCAGCATTGTCATCCTCCGAATGGATATCCTGGCGATAGCCTTGATGTTTCCATTTCGTCACCAAGGTATCCAGTTCGTGCGCGGGCAATCCGGCATTGACCTTCGGGCTCGGAGCCATTGGATGGGCATTGGATGTGCATCAATGATGGAGCAATGATAGCAATGGGATTAGCAAGAAAATATTAAACAGATGGGACTGTTATGACCCGATAGCTGGATAGCTGATCTTATATGATTAAGTAATCTTACATCCTCATACAGATAAATCCCTTTACCATCCTTTACCAACCATAAATGGTTTTACATGAGGTTATGCATGCCATAAAAGGGGTGACTTACCGACGTATAACTGTATAACTGCTATTTTGGGCCAGAACTGCATATGACATGTCCCTACTAAACTATGGTTTCTGGGGAATGTTTAATATTAGGGTCCCCTGTGCTCGTGAAAAACATCAAACTATCAAACCCTACCGGGAAAATTGCCAATCAAGGGGGGATAGGCTGGATTTTTTTTACATATTTTTACATCAAAAATTGATGAAACATTGATCAAATTGCCTAAGCCATACTAAGCCATTCCAGGATCCCATGATCCAACAGCCCGTGCGTCACGGCCGTGGTGCTGCATTGGCCAAGGTCCTTCGGACCCCAGAGGTGGTGAAGGCCTTCTTGGAGCCACCTGCTTCCTGCAAGGGGAATCCCCTTGGTAAATGTCCCATAGGGGGAAAAAATCAACACAGAAACCACAAACTCGGGTATTCGGAATTGCGACATTGGGATTTACCCGGCAAAAATGGTGGGTTTAAGCATCAAACGGATCAAACATGGTGATTTCAGCGGCAAAAGCTGGGATTGAAGCATGATTTCAGCGAGAAATGGAGGTTTTTCACCAGCACTTGATGAGCTTTCAACCATTGTAAAGCAGGATTTCACCATGAAACATGGGATAAATGTTGATGGTTGTTGATGTAATCACAGAATAATCATCATTAGGATGACGACTAGGAGATTGGCGCTCCGCTCGGCTGGATGCAGGTAGCCCTTATCTTGCCAGAAATGGTTTCAAGGGTTGGGAAGAAAATCTCACCAGCAAGTGGCACGTGTTATTATGGCGCTCTTCACATGTTTCGTTGGTCGTTACATATTCATGTTATGCAGATCCTCACACGGTGGTGAAACATCCCGTTTCTATCCATTGACGCACAGATTGATTGTTGTTCTTCTTTGCTCTTCAATCCTTGCAACAATTTCTCACCGTCAGAGAAATCGCAATACAACCATGTCATACATATTCAAGCTTGGATGCTCGCCAAACAGTCTTTCATAGAAATGGCTACCAATCAACAAAATTACAATCCACCACGCTACGCAGTCCATACAGAGATGGCTTAAAAAAATAGCCCATGATATGGTAAAATCATCTGGAACAAACAATAAACCTCCAGGAGTAGGTTTATACATCCCATCTCCGGACAAAGTGGGGATGGTTCATTTGGCAATTTAGCAATAGACTTGTCACATTGATATTAAATATTTGTTTATATATATATAATGCAAATTATAAATATTTGTTTCTTTAATTATTTTGTAAGTATTTATCTATTTATTTATCTACATATGTACAAGCACGCACGCATCCAACCATATTCATTTAAATTATACATGCATATTATATCATCATATGTATAGCAAAATTGATGCATGATCTCAAGGCTTCGCAGCGAATCGCTCCTGGAAGATTCTGGCAACAGCTGACAAGGTCTCCTGTGCCTGGAGGGTACCATTGAAATAAACGGTGGCAAGATCTTACGCGAAATTGAGACAAACATATACAAAAATGGGTCATAAACAGGAATAAACATGAAATTATCAATGACACTAAGATTTAACTGACATGTGGACTGAACCACCTTAAATGGACATTATGCATTCGCGCAAAGGGAAATTCACCATTATAGACAATTACTTCAAGTGAGAGGAAGTGGCTTCTGAGATGTAGTGTGCCCAATGAACTCAGAACTCTTGAAGGTTTTTTTAGTATCTGGAACTATCGGAAGAAAACATCCAAGCACTAACGTTTGCCCTGCTTCACAAATTCATTGCAGACACAAATTACTTAAGTATACGTTTTCAGGATGGTTCCAACAACCATGGGGGCACCAACATTCGAGAATTAAAACAGGTTTTGAATTTTAGTGGCGGTGCGCCAAAAAAACGAAAAACAACAACAACAACAACAACAACAACAACAACCACCACAACCACAACCAACAACAACAACAACAACAACAACAACCAACAACCAACAACCAACAACCAACAACCAACAACCAACAACAACAACAACAACAACAACAACAACAACAACAACATGAAATCAAGCGTATTCCCTGAACCACCATAATATGCTTCAAATCTGGTTCCCGACCCCAAAATCGGAAAATGTGGATCCCAGTTATGATCCCAGTTATATCCAGGAAAAACATGGATCAAGGTCAGCACCTCAGAGGGGCTATAGCGATCGAAGTTCATCTTCACAAAGCTCTCAGGGACCTCACCAGAACGGCAGAGCTTCGGCCGCTGGTCATGACTAACAACATTGCTATTGAAAATACCCCATTTATAGTTGATTTACCATATTTACCTATTCAAAATGGTGATTTTCTATAGTAATTACGTTAGTTTACCAGAGGGTAGTCTATACTTATTTTTTCCATTCTTGAAAGATATAGGATGATATAGGAACCCAACCAATTAACCCATTCACAGCACCCTTTCTTAACGATATTCGCCCAACTGTAAACCCAAAGAAATCCGCCGACAACAAAAATTAATTTACCACAGTTTTCCGGCCAAAATCCCATCTACAGTATCCTGGATAAACAAAGCTTAACGCAGCAGAAAACCTCCATTTTTTGGTGAAAAATCCACCACCCAACGGGGCCCCCGCCTCGTTGGGTTCACCGTTGGCAGCCGCCATCCGCAGCGCACCGTCCACCACCATACGCTTCACGCGAACGTCCACCTGGACGGTCGTTTTTTTGGGGGGGCACTGGAGGGCAACATAGCAATTGGAAATCCTCCATTTTTTGATTTTCCAGCAAGTCACGTTTGATTACCGGAAGGTAGTTCTTATAGTGATGGTTGGCTGCTTGATATATGTATGTATATACATATTTTTGTTTAATATATATATATATATAGAATTATATAGATATAACATGTACATATATAATTATAATTATATATAGTTTGTATAGTTCATATACACACATTTATTTGAATATTATTTTATGCCGATGGGTAAAGTTGTAAAACCAGAAGCCATAAACCATCCCATTAACCAGCCATTTCTGTGGGGGTGACTTTACATCATCCCAAATATATAGGGGTATAGCAATAACTAACATACTTTGGGGATGGTTTCTTATTGGGTTTTCAACAATACAATCACTTAGGACATTCTTAGGTGGAGGGAAGATCGAAACCTGCGTCAAAGAAGCCGTGCACAGCATATGTTGCGGTCTACGGTTTGAGAAGCCTGCTACTGTATCAGCTATTCAAAACTATTGATCTAATTATGTTGATCATCTTTTCAATGTCAGAGTTGTAAGTGATGCATATTCATACAATTATACCATAGAATCTGGGGTTGATATTAACAGTTTGACGAAATGCAAGCCCAATGCGACTGAAAATCATAGTGTATGGATGTGTGTGGCCACAGCCGGTCCCATTCCCAATCAACAAACACAAATATCGTCGAAATAGAAAAACATAGCCGCTGCTGCAGGATGAAACGCATGACATGCAGCTTGCCTTGCAATATGTCACCATTGGTTCCTTTCAAATCCAAGGCCGAGGCCGAGGCGCACCTTACCTTGGGTTCTCCACTATCCGATGGTTTTCAACGGGTTCCAAACATGATCCGCATGTTCGCACTCAGCGGCAACTCAACACAGCATTGGGCCAAACTAGGCTCTGCAAGCTGCTCGGTGAACCACCAACTTCCAAAACCTGCTCAAATCCACTACCCAAACTCAACTCTTCAAGAAGGTCTGGAAAAATCACACCCTTCAAGCTTTGGTTGAAAGCACTGCCAACGGTCAGCGTTCGAAGACTGGCTGGCAGGGTCACTGCCTCCAAGCTCTGGTTGAAGTCAGCACCGAAAGTCAACGTTTGAAGGCTGGGCGGCAGATGCGGCAGGGTCACTCGCTCCAAACTCTTGTTGAAGCGATCACCGAAAGTCAACGTTTGAAGATTGGGCGGCAGGGTCACTCGATCCAAGCTCTGGTTGAAGCGAGCACCGAAAGTCAACGTTTGAAGATTGGGTGGCAGGGTCACTCCCTCCAAACTCTGGTTGAAGCGATCACCGAAAGTTAACGTTCGAAGGCTGGCTGGCAGGATAACTTGCTCCAAGCCCCCACAACCCACAGTCAATGTTTGGAGACTGGCTGGCAGGGTCACTGCCTCCAAGCCCTGGTTGAAGCCAGCACCAAAAGTCAACGTTTGAAGGCTGGCTGGCAGGATCACTGCCTCCAAGCTCTGGTTGAAGTCAGCACCGAAAGTCAACGTTTGAAGGCTGGGCGGCAGGGTCACTCGCTCCAAGCTCTGGTTGAAACGATCACCGAAAGTCAACGTTTGAAGCTTGGGTGGCAGGGTCACTCCCTCCAAACTCTGCTTGAAGCCAGCACCGAAAGTCAACGTGTGAAGCTTGGGTGGCAGGGTCACTCCCTCCAAACTCTGGTTGAAGCGAAGACCAAAAGTCAACGTTTGAAGATTGGATGGCAAGATCACTCGCTCCAAACTCTGGTTGAAGCGATCACCGAAAGTCAAAGTTTGAAGATTGGATGGCAAGATCACTCGCTCCAAACTATTGTTGAAGCCAAAGGTGACAATATTGCCTTGATCTGGGTACCAGTAGCACACAATTCCCGACTGAAAAGCCAACGTTTCAAGACTGGGTGGCAGAGTCACTCCCTCCAAGCTGTGGCTGAAGCCACGACCCAGAGTCAACGCTTGGAGACTGGCTGGGAGGGTCACTGCCTCCAAGCCCTGGTTGAAGTCAGCACCAAAAGTCAACGTTTGAAGGCTGGCTGGCAGGATCACTCGCTCCAAACTCTTGTTGAAGCCAGCACCAAAAGTCAACGTTTCAAGGCTGGGCGGCAGGGTCACTCGCTCCAAGCTCTGGTTGAAGCCAGCACCGAAAGTCAACGTTTGAAGCTTGGGTGGCAGGGTCACTCCCTCCAAACTCTGGTTGAAGCCATGTTGCAAATTCAACGTTCGAAGGCTGGCTGGCAGGATAACTTGCTCCAAGCCCCCACAACCCAAAGTCAATGTTTGGAGACTGGCTGGCAGGGTCACTGCCTCCAAGCCTTGGTTGAAGTCAGCACCAAAAGTCAGCGTTTGAAGGCTGGCTGGCAGGATGACTCGCTGCAAGCTCTGGTTGAAGTCAAAACCAAAAGTCAACGTTTGCAGACAGGGCGGCAGGGTCACTCGATCCAAGCTCTGGTTGAAGCGAGCACCAAAAGTCAACGATTGTAGTCTGGTGAGCATGTGCATGTCACACAGGCCCTGATTGAAGTCAGTACCAAACGTCAAGCTTTCAAGGGTTTCGGGGAGGTAATTCCAATGCTGCTGTCCTGGCTGCTTCAACGTCATGTGGGTTAGTCCTTCTAACGCCTCCTCACAGGTTGTCAGTCCTTGCACGAAAGCACCCTGCAGCAAAAAGATTTGCAGGCACATGGGTGCAGGATAAGTTCCCAGTTTCTCTCACAATGCCTTGCTCTTCCATGGTTTGGTTCAGTGCTAGCTCAGAAGTGCCATGATGCAGGACGAGCTTCGCACCTCGCTTCGAAGGAAACTTCTTCGAAACGATCTGTCGAACCTCCCGGCCCAGCATCGTAGGAGGGACCTTCAAAAGGAATTCCTGCCCAGTCATGCGCAGCACATGAAGATCAAATAGGTCTGAGCTACCAGGATCAAATGAGCCACCATAGCCCTGCATAGCCAGCGACATCTGCCGGATGGGGGGTCTTTCTTCTGTTGTGGAACCCAACCATGACGATGACTTTCTATGAAGTTTGTGCTGGTTGTTCAAGGTTTCTTTTGGTGCTCAAAGGTGCTGTGCATGCAATTGTTGGCCGAACTAGGATCTTTATGCCATTTCGTTTGATCTTACAACACTACAGGCAGTGGGCTGATGCAGTCAAAACTTTTGGACATCTCTGTGCTATAAATATGTTCATCTGTTATCTAAATCCTTTCAATCCATTTTTGCTGGTTGAATTCCCTTGGAATCTTACTGTTTATGATTAGAGTCTTGGTTTGCCATGATTAAACATCCAATTGTTGTTTGCATTAGTAGCTTAAAACCCTATATTGTGCCCGTGTATATAGAATACCGATGTTTAAGTAAACATGTGCACACCATTCTAAACATCATTAAACATCCCATGGACCACCCTCAATGCTACTGTCAAAAGATGTTAAAAGTATTTCTGACGGTCAGTCCCCAGTGTTAGATGCTAAAATCACATGCCAAATGATTAAACCCCAAATTGTTAGGATTAGATCCCAAATATTCATGTTTGCTAGTCGCTTCGAATCATCAATGAAAAGCCTCATTTTGCTGGTGAAATCCCTTTGTTTCATGCTTCAAACCCAGGTGAACCCCACGTTCCATGGCAGATTTCTGCCGTTTCGCTCACCGCACCTCGCTGTGCACGTGGCAGTGCTCCTCTCCATCCATGTCGCGACAGACGCAGCGCCGCGTGCCCGGCGGGGCGTCGGAGAGACGCAGCGGGTTGGAGATGTCCATCGAGGGACGGGCGTTGACTTCCAGGAGCCACCTGGGTGATGTTAGTTGACTTATAAACCATAGACAAACCATAGACAAACCATAGTAACTACAATCTATCTATCTATCTATCTGCCTATCTATCTATCTATCTATCTATCTATCTATCTATCTATCTGCCTATCTATCTATCTATCTATCTATCTATCTATCTATCTATCTATCTATCTATCTACTTATCTATCTATCTATCTACCTATCTATCTATCTATCTATCTGCCTATCTATCTATCTGCCTATCTATCTATGTATCTATCTATCTATCTATCTATCTATCTATCTATCTATCTGCCTATCTATCTATCTATCTATCTATGTATCTATCTATCTATCTATCTATCTATCTATCTATCTATGTATCTATCTATCTATGTATCTATCTATCTATCTATCTATCTATCTATCTATCTATCTATCTATCTATCTATCTATCTATCTATCTATCTATGTGTCTATCTATCTATCTATCTATCTATCTATCTATGTATCTATCTATGTATCTATCTATCTATCTATGTATCTATCTATGTATCTATCTATCTATCTATCTATCTATCTATGTATCTATCTATCTATCTATTTATCTATCTATGTATCTATCTATGTATCTATCTATCTACCTATCTATCTATCTATCTACTTATCTATCTATCTATCTATCTATCTGCCTATCTATCTATCTATCTATGTATCTATCTATCTATCTATCTATCTATGTATATATCAATGTATCTATCTATCTATCTATGTATGTATCTATCTATCTATCTATCTATCTATATATCTATCTATCTACTTATCTATCTATCTACCTACCTATCTACTTATCTATCTACGTATCTATCTACTTATCTATCTACTTATCTATCTGTCTATCTATCTGTCTATCTATCTATCTATCTATCGTTTTATCTATCTATCTATCAATGTATCTATCGATCTATCTGTCTATCTATCTGCCTACCTACCTATCTACCTACCTACCTATCTATCTACTTATCTATTTACTTATCTATCTACTTATCTATCCACTTATCTATCTACTTATGTGTCTACTTATCTATCTACTTATCTATTTACTTATCTATCTACTTATCTATCTACCTATCTATCTATCTATCTGCCTATCTATCTATCTGCCTATCTATCTATGTATCTATCTATCTATCTACCTATCTATCTATCTATCTATCTATCTATCTATCTATCTATCTATCTATCTATCTATCTATCTACTTATCTATCTATCTATCTATCTATCTGCCTATCTATCTATCTATCTATGTATCTATCTATCTATCGATCTATCTATCTATCTATCTGCCTATCTATCTATCTACCTACCTATTTATCTACTTATATATTTACTTATCTATCTACTTATCTATCTACTTATCTATCTATCTATCTATCTGTCTGTCTATCTATCTATCTATCTTTCTATCTATCTATCTATCGATCTATCTATCTACTTATCTATCTACTTATCTATCTACTTATCTAGCTACTTATCTATCTACTTATGTGTCTACTTATCTATCTACTTATCTATTTACTTATCTATCTACTTATCTATCTACTTATCTATCTATCTATCTCTCTATCTATCGATCTATCGATCTATCGATCTATCTATCTGCCTATCTATATATCTATCTACCTACCTATCTACTTATCTATCTACTTATCTATCTATATAGATGTATTATCTACCATAAACCCTTGTTACTGGAGTTATAAACTAAAAAGAAAACTAACTATGGGGGCAACACCTTGTGGGGAATTGTGGGGATGGGTCAAGTGGCTCAAAAACAGGGGGGGATGCTACCCGGGTGATACCATGTGATAGCCCATGGCTTGACGGGTTTAACGTGGTTTAACGGTTTAACCATCAGTGAAATGGTTGAGACATGGCGAATTAAGACTGAGCACTTGAACATGACTATTTAAGCATCAACAATTGTTTGTAGTTCAAATATGAAAAAATGTAAGGGATGCAAAATGAAGTGGGGCACGCCCCAAAAATGATGATGAACCTCTCGTTTTGGCATATGGTCATCCTTCATCCCCATAACCCCTATGGATGGGTGAACGTGGTGAGGATGTGGTGCTTTGCATCATTGCAGTTGTGAAACTTCAACCATCAAGCATGCTGGGATTCAATGACATTAGGCTTAATCACGGCAACTATATAGAAAGATGAAAGATGTATATCATGCATGCATAGATTGTAAATTAGCACAGTCTTCTAGTCTTTGCAGTAGTTAATTAGCATCAAAAAATAGGAAGTTCACTGAGTTTCTTCCCGGGCAGTGTCTCAAGGCAGGATCCAGCCCTTTTCACAGATTTCTCTTGGTAAACTCACCATTTTTGGCTGGCACAAATCCATTGTAATGAGTGGCTTCAAAATGTTAAATCATGTTCCAAGGCATGCATTAATAGAAAATCATAGAAATGCTGCTTTAGATTTAGCTTGGCTTGTTTTTTACAGAAAAAATCTGAGTGGTTTATTTTGCCACACCAATATACTTCACCTAGAGGAATCGTGACCCCGCCAGAGCTCGTTCACCAACGATTCACTGCCAGGGCTCGGCTGTAGGGAGGAATCCAGGAGGACGTCCACCCCCAGGATCTGAAAACAGTTCCTGAAGAAAACGACTGGCATTCCCAAAAAAATGCAGAAAAGAGAGTATTCCAAGTCATGAACTAAGATTTTCATAGCTCTTCGACTCTTCGATCTTCTTTCGGGTGCTAAAATGACGTCCTTGCGGATGGACCTATCATTTATCATTTGTCATTTGATTGAAAAAATCGTTTTACCCAATGCTACCAACTTTTGAAGGAATATGGGTGCATAGCGAGACTGAATCGATGGACAGTTTGATGTCTATTGTGCCCAGCTGCGGGGCATACATCTCCTGGCCGGGTGAAACCCGGGTTTCATCAAGAAATCTAGGTAACATTCACCGGTGGATATTCGAATATGTGTGGTAGATGAACAGAAGATATAGAAAACAACATACAAAACATACGCTTCTGAATTGTGTGGTGTCTCTTTTTGATGACTTGCACGTTGTTTTTTGTTGATACCCCCCTTATCCCGTTTTTTTGAAAGGGTTCTGAATCAAGAAAACGCGGGAAGTTGTGATCCTCTGCCAGGAGATCCATGGATTTACAACTGCCTGTTTGCGGATTAACATTATATATATATATACATATAGTTGCGGACACGTGGTTAGAACCTTTTTGGAAAATTTAACATAAGTTTCAATCCACGAGGAAATCGCACTTAGAACCCAAAATCCCTTGCACTTAGAACCTTTTCATATGACATGATGATCTTTAATGATATAAGTTAATATCTACATATGTTTATAATCATGTAGATAGTTTGGGAAATTGGCACTTAGAACCTCTGAAAAACATGAGCATCTTTAATGATATAAGTTAATATCCACATATGTTTATAATCATGTAGATAGTTGGGGAGATTGGCACTTAGAACCTCTGAAAATCATGGGGATCTTAAGTGATATAAGTCATGAGGATCTTAAGTGATATAAGTTAATATCTACATATGTTCATAATCGTGTATATAGTTGGGGAGATTGGCATTTAGAACCTCTGAAAATCATGAGCATCTTTATATAATGATATAAGTTAATATCTACATATGTTTAAAATATCTGAAATCAGACTTTGACTACTACACTTTAAGATCGGAGCACTACACTTTGAGATTCCGCCTCTGAGTGGGATGGCCAGCGTGTGGCTAAGACCACCAAGGGTTTTTATACGTATAGTGACCGCTACTCCGCCTAGTTTAAAAAAAATGCGATTTCGCTCCACATGATACCGATTATAATTTGTTTCCTAATCATAGTAGTTTTGAACAGATTAGGCTAGATATGTTTGCCAGATTATAGGAGTGATGGGTTATGAGGCAAATGGTTGGGGGACTTTACACTTAGAACCCCCCCTAACATAGCTGGACTTGCACTTTGAACCTGTGGAGGTTCTAAGTGTGCATTGTTTTCCATACCTTACGTAGCGTTTTAGGAAATTTCCGCAGGTTCTAACCACGTGTCCGCAACTATAATATAATTGATTCGACATGTTTCGAGTGATTTCGGGGTTGGTACGGTGCCATATCTATCCAAATCCCGGACCTCGTCTTCGTCTTCCTCCTCTTCTTCCTCCTCTATGTCGCCTCTCCTTAACATCGGAAAAGTGGTCGGATGATTCATCCCAAAGAAAATAAACAAATTTAAACACTCAATTGATCGCTATTTTTAGTTTCCTAAATATCACATTCATGATGTGACAACATTGACAAAATGTTGACTATCATCTTCAATACTGTTATCGTCCAAGGATCGAATTCCTAACCCTCCAGCCAGTGGCCTAGCGGCGCTAGCCATTATCCCGGGGCAACTAAGTGAAGTTTCTGGATGATATATCTAAAATAATATAAATGCGTTCAAAACACAACTTCCCTAATTTTCCCCATAGTTTTCGTGCCAACTTTCTCCGTATAACTTGGGTCATCACTCAAGAATTGTGTTCAAATGAAAGTGACCATAGTTGTCCGTTCTTCACCCCATCTCTACCATGGTCAATCTTTGGTCATTCATAGCCCACAAACAAAAAAAAATCATCTCGTGCTGGTTATGGTTATGTTCATTTATTTTCCATATAGCCGCTAGCCCCAAAAAACCTCAAGGATTGAACTACCCATCCAAGCTTGACCTATAGATTCTACTGTACCCCAAATCTCCCCAGCTTCGCCACGGCACGGCCGTTTCTTGGGGGACTTGGCTTTCGGCTTCGGCTTGGGCCGGGACTCTTTCGCCACGCGATCCTGGTGGAGGCACCTCTTCTGGGTGTAAAACAATAAACCACCCATTTGGGAGTGGATTATACCACCTATATACTACATTATACCACCTATATACGGGCGAATTTTCACGGAATATCCCCGGAGAATATGGCCTCACATGGTATTCCGTAGATTCATTGACTTGGGTCCTGAAATTCTCCTTGACTTGGGGAGACATGTTATTTAGTGGAATTAATGGGGATACTTGGACATGTTGGAAATATCTATATCTATATCTATATCTATATCTATATATATATATTATATATTGTTATATATGGGAAATATAATCATAACCTATCACTTCCATAATATTTCCAGTAGGTTCCAATAGTATACGCTCCTAAAATTCCAAATATGGAACCTGGAGGAACAAACCAGGTTCGATCGATCTGAATGTGACCCAACTGCGGGGCTCCCATATGGCTCCCATATTGGATTTTGGCCTTGCACTTTGTTGGCCTATGGTGGATGGATTGAAGCGCTGACTGCAGAGGAATTTGGAATGAATTTTGCCTAATGGGTGAATTCTTGAATATCAATCTTGGAATGATTGCAGTTGTACATCACAGAATAATAACAGAGCTTCCTCAGCTCAAACTACGGAAAAAACAAAAACAAAGCAAATAATTTCAAAAAACATATGGGACTGTATATCATCAGAATCTCAGGCTGTCCGCATACAACATAAACTCCCCCCAACCATTTTGCCCCCAGAAATGCCCATGTTTTGGAACCTGAAAATCAGCTGTGGATCCCTATTTGTGATGGTTTGGGGTTAAGCCAATCAAATCCCTCATTTTGCAGGATAAACCATGAAACATGCCACGCAAATCCCGAAAATCAACAGTTGTTTAGTTGTTTACTATGTTGATGGCCAAATCCCATGGTTTTTCACTATTCTAAGGCGTTTTAGATCCAGATCGTTAACCCTTTGTAACCCGGCCACGGCTTGCCATGGCAGCCACGGCTCATAGGTCACTTTGATCACCGGTGCCATCGCTTGCAGCAACACCGCGCAGACCTCCTCGAAGGAGCGGAAGACTTTGTCCTGCTGAGCTGAGCTGAGCTGAGCTGAGCTGATGGGTAATGCGGTAAGCCCAATGACACGTGGTGAAATGAATGAATAGCTAGGGCTCGATAAAGATCTCATGAAAATACTCCGTCATGATCATTTCTTAGCCCTGATAATAATCATGATTATCATCCCTACTAATCGTCATTTGTTGGTTTGATAAGGGTAATAACGGGTATTAATGGGGAAAATCATTGGGATATTGATGCTTCATGTGGTAACGCCGATAATGAAACCATCCCCAGTCATGGTTGGTTGATCGGATGGCTACGCCTCATGTATCAATGGTAGATGATCCGAAACAAACTTGGACAAATGGCATCCAAGCATATCCAAGCGTCAATTATATGTTTATTTAACCATCAAAAAACAGAATTCATACTCTGATCTAACCATCAAATGAGTGCCAATGAACAGGACACCCTGAGCTGGATGATATATGGATAGACAGAACAGTTGGACACCTAAAAATCATGAGGGACACATCATCCCTTTAACATCTAGGGGAGAACAAAAAAAACTTCCAGGACATGACAGTTGAAATGACCATAATCCGATGCCATGGTATCTAATCCGATTTTACTTTGGCCGAATCAGCTGGTACGAGTAATATTGGAATATATTTCCCTATGAAAAAGAAGAAGGACAAACACAGTAACCAATCGACCAAAGGTTGGCCAAGCAGAAAACAAAAACATGGCAATGCAATTCAGCACGATTGAAATAACTCTTAGTGCAACTACAATAAAGAAAAGGTTATGTTACCATTGTTTCATGCTTAATCCTCTATTCATTCGTAGATATTCATAGTTTAATCACCATGTTTCACAACTTGTTCATGGGAAAATCCCCTAGAAGACTTGGATTCCCATTGTTCGACTAGTAGCTTCTCAATAGATTCACCGTTTTCCAGTGGATTAACCAGTATATTTCCATTTTTCATCGGAAAGTCCCCTACTTCATAGTTATTCATAGCTGAACATGTAGTTTATCAGCTATTGAATCCCACTATTCCTGGATATTCCCCACATGAAACCACCATTTTTCCATATTTTTCCTAGGAAATTCCTCCCATCAACGGCCCCTGTCACCTCATCAAAGGCGCGTCCAGCGGCTTCTTCCTGCGCTGCCATCTGCAGCAGCAGCGTGGAGAGCGGACGCTTCGAAGCCTGCGTGTGCACCTGGAGCTGGGGGGAAGTCACCACAGCAGTGGTTGATGGTCGGATTCGAAATATGAAGATTGCATGTGCCAAACGTGAAATGACAAATTTAAGTGTAGAGGAAGACTTGGTTTGTACGACAATTACGACATGAACAATGAATCATGGGAAACAACATGAAGATTTCACCAAGAAAATGGTGGATTAAAAAAATGACATCATAGGCATATACTGAACCTGGAGCGGGGAAAAAGCTGGAGAAATGACCATCATTCACTGACCGGTAATATAACTGGAAAACATGGTATTTTTATAGTTTGGGTCGATTTTTGGAATATCAATGGTAAACCTATCTGGGATAAGGGATAACATGAGAATATACTGGAAATAGTGAACATGTAGTGGAGATACCAACGATGATGGGTATATCATGGGGAAAAAAACATCCAAACAAAGAACTGAGCAGTGGCTGCTAGCCACCCCGGTTGCTTGATGACTTAGAACATACAAAAATGTTGGAGATGATCACAAGCCATGAACGGGGAATCCCCGTCAACCCAACTAGGGAAAAGCTATTGAGCTATTGAATTCAATGGGCGGCAAGGGAAAGTATCTAGGAACCTCATATTTCATGGGAAATTTCATGAAATTTCCTGTAGATTTTCCATTACACCAATCCATCGATGAAACCTGTTGAAAGTGAAGAGAGCCAAAAAAAAATGGTGATTTCACTACAAAAGTGTGAAGATTATTGATAAGTGATGGTTGGTTGATATTGGTTGATGGTTCATTAGTTATTAAACATTGGGATTTACAGTCATTTATGGGCGGGACCAACCACACACATATATATATATATATTTCAGGATGCCAGGATAATTCCAGTAAAACATGGCTAGATATATGCAATAACACTGTACTGTCATGTAATGTAACTAAGCACAATGTCATGTAATGATGTGTAATGTATGTATGCAAGTACATAATAATGTAATGCATAAATACACAATACATATATACTAATATATAATACTGCATGAATAGATTTAGGGGAGATATAACCTGCAACATCCTGTAACTGGAAAGCTTTGTCTTTGAATTTGATTGAAAAAAAAGGTAACACCCCAAATCCAATGATTTATCATCACTTGACCTGTTGGAACTGGGGCAATTTGGGGCAATTTGCAGCCATCCAGGTGCCCGGGCAGTGAAGGGATCCTCGTCCTTGAAGGCAGCGGACTTCTTGTTCACCTGAGGGACTGTTGAGACTGTGTCGTGTTGATGGATATCGCATATACGATCATATAGGTATCGAATGTGGACCATTTATAGATGAGGTACTTATTTAAATTAAGTGAACATGATGATTTTCCATACAGTTATCTTGGTTTACCAGAGGGTACATCAGGGATGGCATGAAAAAAGAACTCCAAGAATTGGGACTGTGGGGAGTAACTTGGGTCACCAAGTGCAATGTCGTCCGAAATCAACTTGAACCTAATCTTGTCCAGTCTTTCCCTAGGAAAGTCAAAAGACTTTGACAGAAAACATGGATTACAGAAAGTGATAGAGACAGTTCCGGCAGCTGTCGTTTCGAATACTGTTCATCTTCACCTTTCCAATGAGTGCGACTCGCATTCAGATTTCCAGAGGCCCTTCCCCAAATTCAAAACTGAAACCCTTCCTCAAACTTGCAGCAAAAACACACACACAATCACACACACACACATATGTATATATATATAGAATTACAGATATATACACATAATTACGTACCATCCAAAGCAGGTGTTCCATGGTTTTCAAATACAGCCAAGTTCTGCGACATCATATGTCACTCAGGTCGACCCGAAACGCGCAACGTCCTCGACGTCCTCTCACTAGCAGCGCTGCAGTCGAGGGACTGAGTAGTTGGTGAGATGCATGTAGGCCTCGAATCAAAGGATAGTGAATGGAACAGCATGCGGGCACCCCGGGCACCCCCAACCCGCTGATGTTTGATGTGTTGTGAGATAGGAGCCCAACAAGTTTCTTAAGCGGCCTCCAATTTAAAACGATTCCAAAAAACACATGACCCACCTGCTCACATCACCTCACATCCACATCCATCCACATCCCAGGTCGCCCAAGCGTCATCGTTGGCATTGGCCGTGCTGGGCGCCTCGTACTTGGCCGTGCAGAAGCGCGCCAGGCCCTCGCGCGACAGGTACGCCACCAGTGGGTCCACGGAGGTGACGACCACGTAGAGACGGAGGTCGAACTTCAGGCCGTCCAACAACAGGGGCTCTGGGAGATATCCTGTGGGAGATCGCCAATGAATGAACCAGGAAATAAGCCACTTAAATAACCACTATATAATTATAATATATTGCTTAGAGCATTGTTTAACCATATGTAACCGAGGTATTTCATATGCTTACTAACTGGGATACACCCCGCATATCCCCGCATGTATCTTTGATCCTTCGGCATCCACCATCATCCACCGTCCAAGTGTCGCTGCGCCAACGCGCCGAAGCCCGCGCCAAAGTGCGGCTTTGCCGACAGCTTCAAGCGAAGATCCGACGCGGTTTGCACCTGGGCCGCTGGGTTGGCCATGAGATCCATGGCAGTGCCATGGTCAAAAGAGGTGGATGTGTTTTTTGTGGTTTATGGTCATCCAAACATTACCCTCTGGTAAACATACAAAAAAACTATGGAAAATCACAAATTTTAATGGGAAAACTCACTATAAATGGTCATTTTCAATAGCTATGTCAAATTACCAGAGGGTATAGATCCCAATGAAATATCCAGAGTGATGATTCCCATCCCAGCTTGGTCGTCCCTTAAGATGAATTTGCTCGGTGCACTAATAAGTGGGTTATATTTCACCATAGTTGCAGGCCTTATCCCAACTTGTGAAGGTTCAGAATATTAAAAATCCATGAGTATACCCTTAATTAACTATTATACCGATATACTGTACACTTTTGTAATCAATTAATCATTTATAGGTGTTATCCCAACTGATAGTCATCTCAGGTTGTAGCCTTACCAGTGGGACTACCAGGTGATAGCCATCTCTCAGGCGCCAGAAAAATGCCATCGCCCTGCGAGCCGCCCTCGGGCTTGACGATCACCGTATCAGACTGGCGCCAGGAAAAGCTGTGCAGAAAATGGTTGGCTCAGAATATTTTTGGGGGGCTTCTTGAGGGGGGTTGCCCTCTGGTAAACCAACGTAACTATGGAAAGTCAACAGTTTTTAATGGGTAAATCCACTAGAAATGGCAATTTTCAATAGCTATGTTAGTTTACCAGAGGTTAAGTGATTGTTTTGACTTGCTGGTTTCATTGTGCGGTTCAATCGGCTGGTTCAGTTGGGTCATTTTTGTCTTTCTTTTTCGCACTCCATCATCTCATCTCAGCAATGTCAACCCTGAAGCAAATGTTGACCCCTGGTTGGCGAAAAAATGGGAGCGACAATCTATGAAGCTATGATGCTTCCACATGAAAACATTTTGTCTAATTCATCAGCCAGGATTAGCGGTATTACTTGGTATTACGGTATTCCCTGATCTTAATCTTGTTACTTCAAATGATTCAAATGCTACTGTTCCACTCTATAACCAGTGTTGAGCCGACCCCTTTCATCCAAGCTCGCAGTTGACCGACATTGGTTCTACATTGAACATGCATGCTAGATGACCACACTAGCCTCAAATACACATAGTCACATAGTTTTCTTCCTGGGCTCTCATATTGCCCAAAAAATACATGAAATCGACATAATATCCACCAACCATTCACCAGGGATCACCAGGGTTCACCAGGGTTCACCTGGGTTCACCTGGGTTCACCTCGATTTCTCCGCCCTATATGCCAAAATGCCCGAATCTCCAGGGAAGGATGGGAATGGGGGTCCCATCAGCTCCTTGTGTTTGTCTAGCCAGGTGGAGAGCTCATCGACTTCGGCTGGGAGCAGCCAACCTCGCTGCGAGACGACGGATTGGCTGGGTCGAATGGGGGATTTCCCCTCTGGTGATTTAGAGGGTTGTGATGGAAAATGGTCCATGTACACATGATATGCAAATGATTTACCTTCTAAATCATGGTGATTCCATATAATATGTTTTATAAATTACATTAAATTACCAAATATCCCAAATCTGTTGTCCATCACATCATGGAAACATTGATCAACAAGGGGATTTGATGATTTCAACTTTTGAGACAAACCCAGAATACATGGCACATGGCTCATGGCTGCATCCCAATGCGCTCTCAAGGCTCCTGCAATGCCATCTTCCCAAAAGAGTCTGTGGGGAACAATCACTGTCAAATTCGGCACACCTTACAGGACTCTCAAAATGTCCGACTGTCCCTCAGTCCTTGTTGGAGGGTCTATAGATCTATAGATTGGGCCTGGATGTATTAGTGCATCATAGTTAAGTTATATCTTAATCTTTATCTGGTTGGTGGTTTTAACCCTCTGAAAAATATTAGTCAGTTAGGCGTATTATTCCCAATATATGGAAACATAAAAAATGTTTGAAACCACCAACCAGTTATCTATACATGTAAAGAATCCCTCCATCCATGCATCTTGCACATATATGTATTTAAACATGTATTTCATTGGATTGGTTTAAGGGAAAATCTACAGGAAAGCCCTATATTTCATGGTAAAAACCATGGTTTCCTGTAGATTTTCCCATCAACCAATCCTTTGAGTATTTGGATGATTTTTTATACACAAAAAAACATACGCATATTCTGTCGAGAACGAACCGAACGAACCGAACGAACCCCGCATATTTCGCGACTCGCGACTCTTGGGCCAGAAGCGAAACTTCTCGGGCCACATCTTCCTGTCCGCTAGCAGAAGGATGGAAATGCTGATATCAACAAAGGAGGAAGGTATGGTACCACCAAATACCACCTATCAGAATCTATGAAATGAGATATGTGCGGCATAGTGGCATATTAGTTGCGATCGATCATATAAGGTTTGAAGAAACTCTTCTCGTCTCAAGTTCCCGGAGTGCCAGTAGTGCGTTTGAAACCACCAGGGTGGGAAAACGATCTGTCAATCAACTTCCCACAGGACAGGTGGAAGGATATGTGGGTTATAAAATGCACAAAAACTCCCGCACTTCACTTCTTGCATATTCCTTACGCAGCTCTAACACCACACATCTTCTGACTGCTGGTTGTTACTCCATCTGAAAAAAAATAAGCTCGTCATGGAGGATCACATTTTTATGGTTGAAACTTGAAATAGAAACTACTTCTACAAAACCAGCCAGAATGTCTAAAAAACATGGGCGCACCATAACTTTAGATCTTCACCACATCACCACACCCTAAACTGCTGCGACATCGCCGTCGTAAAACCGCCGAGGTTCTGTAGCAAACGCAAGGCCAAAGCCATGTTGACCTTGTCCTCGGATCCAAGTCTGATTGGATGGGATGTGGAGAAAGCACTTGCTGGGTTTGAAAAACCCAACTGGTTTCAGTAGCTAGTTGTTGGCTTAAAAACCACAGTAACTTAGCATGGCTAATGGATGTTACAGTAATGATCTAATTAACAGTGGCTAAGTTTGTTTTATAGTGGTTTTTAACTATTGGTTGATGTTGGAAATGTGTCCATTTGCAAATGATTTACAGTACTTTCTAAAATGGTGGTTGTCCAGTTGTCCATAGAAAACTGTTAGAGTACCAGAGAGCAACCCAGCACATTTTGCCAGATTCTACATCAATTGCCTAACAAAACGAAGTAGGTTCATCAACAAATTACCAATTGATGTATCCAGCAAAGGGAACCAAAGTCAACCATCGTTAAACTCCCCCAGCCCAAGTTACTTCAGAAATGCAAACCCAACAGACGTTTTTTTCCATCATCATCCAGTTGATCCTCCAAATTTCAAACCGTTTTGAAATATGTTTCCATCATCCAACAAATCATCCTCCATTAAATCCTCAACCCTACAGAAATGTCATCCCAAAAAAACTCGAAGAACTTCAGAAGTTCAGATGTTCCATGGTTTCCTCAGCATCTGGTTGGTGGTTGACCTACCCCTCTGACAAATATTAGTCAGTTGGGGTTATGAAATTCCCAACTGAATGGAAAGTCATAAAAAACATGTTCCAAACTCCAAACCACCAACCAGATATAGATTTTACCCCCATTAATCAGGTATTAATCACTATTAATCACTATTAACCTGTCCATCCATTTTGGCTCCTATCCCACCAAGGTACGCAGATGCATCCGATGCCCGGGAAGCGGTTCACCCATGCGCTGCTGGGCATCCGTGGCACCTTTTCGGAGCCCGCCGGGTGGTTCAGGCGCTGAAGGAGGCCCTGGCCACTCCAAACGAAGAAGATGGGTGCCTTTCGACGGGTACCGGTCGTGTCCAAGAAGTGAACCGTGAAGTGAACTGCCGGGGATCCCTTGAATCCCTGGTGCCCTGTTTCTGAAGAGAACTCACCATGACTAAGGTGAAGACTCTGTTTTATATATAGTTTTGCGAATTCTAGTTATGATAATTGGATATATAGTTTTAGCCAAACATGTGGATAACTATGGGGGCTTTGAGTGGATACACCTCACCATAGTTACGAAGAGTCTATATGAATGATTCATTGTGAATGTATAAGAATTATGGAGGTGAAGTGAGTTAGAATGTTGGGCGGGGATTTTAAATTTTCTAATGAGGAAAATGGGAACTCAGATCAGCAAGATGAATTAGAATGTGGGTATAGTTGAACCAGAAATAGGGACTGAAACACTCAAACCAAGCAAATTGGGGGGAAGTTCGGCAAATATGATGGTTTATGATGGATACCCAGCCACCATGAACTTCTAGAAATATGTGTAACATTGTATAACATTGTGCAACTATGACAAAGTATTTCCCCCGGATCTTGATGATCTTGTTCATTCTATTCGCAGAAACTGACATCAATTTGGAATTGTAAGAAAAAGGTTACAGTAGTGTACATATCATAGTACCATCAAAAGTGGTTTGGGCAAATGACGTCCAGCCCACAAGATTGGAAGGACTAACCGTTTTTGGCTTTAGGAAGCGGCCTTAGGCAAATGGGGGAGTATATTTAGCCACAAAAAGCCAGCACTCGTATGAGTATACCGTATTGATCTATAGTCTATAACTATCTATATTCATATATATATATAGATTATCTATATTAGTCTATATTCTATGTATGTCTATATCTTTATTATTCTATATTTATATAGATTGGGTGACTCATATCTTATCAAAAGGGCAAGAAAAGCTGCTGCGGCCCAGAACAGCCACCTTATCCTTATTCTTCATTGTCCTTATGAAATGGTCGTAATTGATACTCATGGGAACGGTGGCTGTTATGCGTTATACCTCATTTAATACAGTAACTCATTTTTCACAGTATACCTTAATTTTCAAACACATCAATGGGGGTATACCGGGTATACCAACCAAATCATCCCATTTTTCTGGCTTTTCCATTAACCATCCAGCGAGCTTGGGGTAACCGGCCGGGTAACCCCAGTTATGGATCTGAATCCCGGCTCGGGCCCATGGGGCGCGCCCCACCTGGGTGTTGGAAGGATCCTCAATCCTGGGAGTTTGGAGGCAGCCACTGAAGCCACTAGCCCGCCACCGGCCAGCGGAGATCTCAAACATATCACAGATGATCCCAAACAACCAGGTGATACATATCAAACATATCAAAGAGAGAGAGAGATATATATATAATATGATATATCAAAGATATGGTCCTGGTTTGATATATCACAGGCCCACTGGATATATATATATATATATATATTCATACATGAAACATGTTCCCAAAGATCGGCCAGCATCCCAAAAATCGGCCAGCCAGAATGCCAGGAAAGTTGACAGGACCACCCTTATTTATGACATTGGCTGGTAGGATTGACGCCTTTTTTGGCACCTTGTTTCATCCTTTTTCCTCCGCAATAACCCAAATGCACCATGTCTGGAATATGACTAAATGTACCCCCAGAAAATATCGCAAATGTAGGCAAATATACCCTCTGGTAATTTAATATAACTATGGAACATCACCATTTTTAGTGGATGTTCCCATGAAAAAATGGTGATTTTCCATAGTTATGTTAAATTACCAGAGGGTACCAGACATGGAGCACATGGATAACCCAGCGCATCTGAGAAACAGTTCCCATGAGGAGCCTTCCTCACAAACGATGTCTAACAGGGCTCGGCAGCCTCTCCTCGCTGTCGACGGCAAGGACGAAGGTGGCAAGCCGGTGAAGTTAAAGATGAAATTGATGAAATCAAACATCCAAATGATATATATATATATATATATGTTCTCTTGTTTTTCAACAATCATATGTTAAGGGCATCCCAAGCTTTAATAACATTGAAATTTGAACATTTCCCAGACTTTCGGACTCGAAAAAATATGGGAAACTCTCCTAAGTCTAAACCACAAAGCACTAATGAGAAATGATATCTTTGGTGCCAGTGGATGGCATAATCATCCCCTCACTCCCGTGCACCATTGTGCACCTCCTGAATTTCCCAAGCCAGTGCCAGGAACATGTTCAAACATGTTCCAACCCCTTGCAACTTCAATGTCAAAGGGTGTCAAATGGAATAAATGCACATATATCTCTTCCTCACGTTTGGGGAAACCACCAGCCCAGCACGGCCCTTAGTGTTTGACCCTGGCTGTCCTAAGACAGGCGCTGATGTTCACACCAATCCTTGGCATGACATCTTGGAGTAGGAACCATCGAGCCAACCCAGCAATGTCTCCCACCAAATGTTCCGACTCTGAACTCAAGATGGTTGCATGAATTGACACAATGTAGATTGATACAAATAGACTCTAGACTGAAGAATTCACTTGCACTAATTGATTGAATTGGCCAGAACATGTATGTATTGGGTCAAAGTTAGCATCCCTGAAGTTGATGGTCTAGTAATGTAGTACTGAACATGACCAATCGTGTGGGTCCATTGCGATCCAAATGACCCAAACAATTTCATTAACGGAGAAGTCACATGTGTCATTCATTATGTGTGGATGGTTCACACATTTTGCTATTTGGGGATTCTTCAGTATTATAAGAAAACAACCATTTACTTCTGGTTGTTGAGGTTGCAGGTGTTTAATTGAATGATATCAAATGTGTCCCCAATATACTCCACTATACATCATATTTGTTCGCATATATTTCACATTATATCTCACTAACCTTTTTTATATCACTCCAAGGTTCTTCTTCCCCTTCTTCCCCTTCTTCACCTCACCCGTTTGTTCGCTCGCCGGCGTCGCCACTGTACCGGCCGCCATGCGATGCTGAACCAGGTGCCGGATCATCCATTGAATCCTCAAAGCTACGGGCAACGGCTTCAAAAGCGCATGAATCACCTGATGGAATTGTTTTTACAAATTACGCGCCATCAAAAGTGGCGAGCTACTTATGAGCATTGCATGTATGTGTATATATAATTATATATATATGTGTGTGTGTGCATGTTATGCCCACGATGACGGATAATTCCACCAACAACTCCTGGGATATAGCCGATTTTCTTCATGGTAATTGTAGGGAATCAAACATCAAAAAGACTCTCTCTCTCTCTCTCTTGATGTGCAAGTATATATATATATATATGTGTACATCGTGTGGGTGTCACTTCTGGTGGTTTTCACCCCCACCATTTCCCGGGCAATATATTGCTGTTCTTCACAGTCAATCGAGTCAACTGGAATCATCCAGGGTGTCAAGGCCTAAAGTCAGAATAGTTACCCTCCGGTAAACATACAAAAAACTATTGAACATGACCATAGAAATAGTTGATTTACCCATGAAAAATGGTGATTTTCCATAGTTATGTTAGTTTACCGGAGGGTAGAAGCCAAGAACCCGTCCATATCACCAGTGTTTCATGAATATCTGGTTGGTGGTTGACCTACCCCTCTGAAAAATGATGGAGTTCGTCAGTTGGGATGATGACATTCCCAATATATGGGGAAAACATGTTCCAAACCACCAACCAGATATATGGGGTTTACATCCCTCATTCCCTTTGCTTTGTTACACAACCGCCATTTTGGGGGAAAAAAAACTGAGATCACCAACCCACGGGTCCGAACACAGGGCACCCTGAAAAATCCGTACACCGGGGATAAAGAACAACATGGATCATGAGGATGGAATATCCTGGGTATCCTGGCTGACCTCTTGAATTTCAAGTTGACAAACATCAAGGTATAAATATCATGGGTTTCATAACCAAATATATATATATATATATACGTATATATATATATATATTATATTCTCCCCTAAGACACGGTGAAAAGAACTACTAAACAGGGAAGCCTCCAGTAGATCAGTATGGATACAGGAAATTTCTCGTCACAGGATTGTGGGCTTATAGACCCCCATTAGCTAGAAATATAGCCATAAGCATCCATAGACCAAACAGTTAAACTATGTAGATCAAACAACTTAGCTAATTGATGGGGGCACCACCTTGCTCAGAACGGGGTTCCCAGTTCAGGGGTCAGAAATTGTCAACAGTTAGAATATGTTAGAATCCGCAATTGATCTTGGGTAGTATACCCCCAAACAAACATAAATTATACCTTATAACTGGTTGGTGGGATCAACCCCTCTGAAGTATATTAGTCAGTTGGGATTATGAAATTCCCAATATATGGAAAACTAAAAAAAGTTCCAAACCACCAACCAGATAAGCTATATACATTTCTATATCCCATCCATTCAGTTCCCCCAGGGAAAATGATCTGCCAAGGCACGGATCCGGTGGTTCGGAACTGCTTAGGCCTGCCACCATCTCCTGCCAACAGGCTCGGTGGGGCGGGGAAAACCACAACGGTAGTAACTGGGGTATAGGGTATAAAGATATTCAACATGATACAATGTGGTGCCCCTCAGTTATAAGTTGGTTTATAAGCCCCATTAACTATAGTTATATCTACCATAAACCATAGTTATTGGAGTTATAAACCAACTTAGCTAACGAACTGGGGCACCACCTTGTATGAATGATTTGAATCTCCGGAAGTTCTGAGCCCCGAAGGCGGGAGATGTTGGGCTTAGAAGGTAAACTCATCCCAAAATGTGCCAGTTCAACTCTTCGTGGGCTGATCGTCCAAGTGATTCTATATCCCCATCATGATATCCCCTTTAAAGGTATTGTCCCCTTGTTTCACCATTTTTGATGCTCAAATCAACTGATTCAACTGGCAGATCTCCAACTTGTTCCCCACTTACAAGCACCGACACCGCGGCTCCGTCAGCAACGTATCCAGCTGGTTCTCTCGAAAGTAGGGCGCCCAGGCCTCATCTGTCGCATCCGCCTCGGTTCCACTTGGGCGATGGAATCGATGGGGGACACCTCCGACAGATATAAAAAACATGGCACATCATGGCACCGATGCCAGCACTTTGAAGTATCATCTGTGGGATCCCGGCATTTACCAGGTTCCATATGTTCCATGCTGAATTTAGGGACTGTGCACTATATATACTACAGTATATCATAATACATTTGGTGGAACTTAGTGAAATCCCGCAAGATCAACAAGTGACATTCTTACTTGATGTCACAAATTTATGCTGGGTAATAAAAACTTAAACCAATAATAAATCACCATGTCATAATGGCATCCAATATCATCCAATTAAAAAATCACTGTGTCTCATTTTTTTCTTTTAACATGCTAAAACTCATGCTAAAAACAACGCCAAAACCATCTAAAAGCCATGGTTCATGGCAGCCTCATCCGTAATTTCATCCATCTGTAGATGATATATATATATATATATACTGATTTGTGTACCCTCTGGTAAACTAACATAGCGAACTGGAAAACCTCCATCTTACATAGGTAAATCAACTCTAAGATGGCCATTTTCAATAGTTGAGCAGTGTTCAAAACCCAGGTTGGTTGATGATTCTAGGGGATTGTACTATATTATACTACCTTCTATACTGGGGATTATTTCATAATCCAAGAACGGGCAATCCATATTAACCAACCAGTGTAATGAGTATAATGGAATGACATTTTGGGATTTTGAACCACTAATGTCCTTTTGGTAAAAATAGAGGGGCCGGTTTGGTATACCATCTATGACCATCTATCATCATTTACCTGTTCAAGGGCTTTCTGAAGAAACCCCTCTATTAATCAACCAACACATGGGAAAAGGACATCAGTTAAGTTACCAGATGTCCTTTAGACACTGCTGGTTGATGCTGGTTGAGTTACCTACTCAGCAAATGTCCCTCATTGGCGTTTTGACCACTGCTCAGTTCAGTTACCAAAGGCTACCGGTGAACCCGCCAAGTCGCCACCTCACGCAGCCGCCGCACCGCCTCCGTGGCAGAGCCCACGGGCGACCCAGCGGCGACGCCCAGCTCCGTTGCGGACGTGACGTCGGGCGCGGGGACGTCCATGGCGGCTTTGTGGCAAGCTAGCTATAGCTACAAGAAATACTATATAGATACTACTATGGATACTGTAGATACACTAAACATACTATAAGTAGATAATACATGATAATACTATAACTATAACTATGCTATATCATGCTATAGAGTATTTTTGGTGACTTTTGGTTGCTAGCTTGGTGTTTGTGTTTCGTCTCAAGGGGTAGCGTTTTTTTTTAATTCTTTGGAATGTGAAGAAAAGTGCGTTGTTTTTTGAGTAATTCATGGACTTAAGTTAGAGTTTGAAAGCTAGGAGGATGCATATTCACGTCGGTGCTTCATGTTTCTTGGAGAAGTGATGTTTTTGTTGTGCCAAGGACATTACAAAGATCGCTCAAAATGGCAAGGGGCTCCCGAAACGTAGTGGGAAAATCATGATCATGAACAACATTAAACAAAAACATAATGAATCATAATGATACATCATGCACATATCCAACTTGGAGACTTCAGACTGGATCGGATGGTCAATCATGGACCGACTTGTTGGGTTTGAAACGGGTCGAAATCTGGCCCCGGCGCGACATGGAAAGACATGGAAAGGAGGCTGGTGGTGTGATACAGTGTGGTACTTATTATAGTCATGATAAAGGTGGTGGTGATGATCATAGTGATCATGGGCATGGTGATAATTTCTTACCAAATCTATTGCGGCAAGCTTGAATTCGTAAAGTGATTAACATAGAACTATAAGAACGATCTATGTGTGTTTTCTTACTAATTGCTTACTTTGGTCCTAGGTGGGATTTTTCATCATGCTCTAAAATTTCACGTTTCAAATTTTGGGCTCAATATAAGTCATGAACAGCAAAGAAGATTCTCCGAGCAAGGTTACCCTAAACTAACAAAACTCACGCGTAGGTTCTATGTTTCAACCACTGGAGCCGTGGTCAGATTACAGTGATGGAATACCGTATGATCATTCCACCATCATGAGTGATGCCCCAGACTGGTATTTGTATGTACTGGTGACGTTTTAAAGATTTCAAGTCAAATGGAAAAACACATCACATGCTATATAATTCTAAGTCAAACATAATTTAATCGAATGAAGAAATGCCTCAAACATCATCCTTGTCTTCCTGCCGCTCTACAGATCCCGACTAAGGAAACCTCCGGTACCTCCGGACTCGCTCCTTGAGCTGCCGCTTCAGAGGCTCCAAATCCGTCACTGCGGCCGTTTTGCTGATGCTCTGCTCTAAGACCTGGGGCACCCAGGAATGGGCACCCAGGGCTGCCAAGTCGTTGAACTCTTTTGGAGGGATTTGTTTTTTTTGCTCTGCGCGTTCTTTTACGTGAAATTATATGACATTTGATGATTGTTTTTTCCGGGAGATGGTTCATCATCCTGGACTTTGAATGGTTAAATAATCTGAAGGCTCCTGTGACTGGCTGATGAAATCTCCATTCTCTGCGGCCTTCCCCCAAAACCTGAACTGACGTGGAATGCACCCAAAAAATGGCCGTGGGACATGATTTTAGCCCTGCATTTGGTGTGACGGGCTTCCAGCCCGCAGGGCCATCGGCGGACCTTCAATACCTCTTCAGCAGATTGAAGCTGTGCCATCTCTGCCTGTCAAGTTGTCTGGAGTCTTGGGGGCGCATTTGTATTAGAAATTTGAGGTTTCCTAAAATGGATCGATTAAAATGGGGGAAAATATATCCAAAAGTAAACCATTTTAGTATTGAAACCTATGGTTCTGCGGGTTCCACATTTCAAGAAAAACCCTTCATAGAATCAATTAGATGGATAAGGACATTTTTTCCTAAAGGTCTTCGATGTACCATGTCTTTGCTAATCATAACCACATCTTGTTGACAAAATCTGCAATGTTCAACCAAAGTCCTTAAGGCAGCAGCTGGATCAAGAAAGATGCCAAGAGCTTCTGAATGTTGCTCCCAACACGCATGATACTGGGTGAACTTGGGAAACACATGTGTATAAAGATATAAAGGGTGACCCAGTAAAACCGTAAAACAAGAATGTGTCTTCTTTCAGGCAATCTTTTTGGGTGTTTCTCCAAGTGGGGCTCCCCTTAGCTAATTGAGTGGGGCACCACCTTGTGTTTCTTTGGTTATATCATGTTATATCATAATTATATCCCACAAAATCACATGTTTTTCTAAGTTCAGCCTCCGACGAATATCCCACTGTACCAGCTCCGAAATAGAGAAGTTGGACATAGTTGGACACCTAGGAATGATGGATAACTACTGGCTGGTGGTTTTAACATGTGTTAACCATCTTGAAAACTATGAGATCGTCAATGGGAAGGATGACATCCCATATGGAAAATAAAAGTCATGTTCCAAACCACCAACCAGACTATTGTAGATACAGTACCATCCTGCAGCATCCTGGATCGTGAATCCCATGTTTTCCATCGCAAATTCCCACCAGGACGAGTGCCCGCAAGCGCCCTAGGTTGGGGGGTTGCAGACTTGTGTTCGTCTCTCACCTGAAGAAGGGGCACCAATCAATTGTGAAACCCTATGGGCCATTGCAATCCCATTGAAAATTCAATTGAAAATCCAATTGAAAATCCCATGTGAATCCCAAAAACAACCCTGACAATCCAATTGAATTTCATCAAAATACAATTGAATTTCATCAAAATCTCATTGAAATTCATCAAGATCCCATTGGAATCCCGGGCACCTTGGTTTCCACATAGCCGCCAATCTCCAGGACCTGCTCCTCAAGTCTTCGGAAGGCCGCCGCCTGGACCGCAACGCAACGCTAGCCATGTGGACTTCTCATGGATACCGTACCTTTTACTGGGCATATCTCTCTCTCTCTATATATATATATATGTATATGTATATGTATATGTATATGTATATATATATATATAATATACATACACTTAAAGTCATCCTTAAGTGGATAGAATATGCAGTGTTCAACCATATTCTCCATTTTAGTGACGATTTTGTGAAATTGCCATATTCTGTCTACTGCAAAATGCCTCTATATTTTGTGGACACACATGTGTATGTATATTGATCTATCTATCTATCTATCTATCTACCTATCTATCTATCTATCTATCTATCTATCCATCTATCTATCTATTTATGTATATTCATATTATACATTACATACATAGTTACATGCACATGGTCCATGGTAACTAACGGTTTCGAAAATAGTTACACATCCATGTATATCGGGCAACTATGAGTAAACAGGTCTTTTACCGACCCTGGGTTCACAATAAAAAGTCAATGATAGTCGGATGGTCATTACTATTGACCATGGTCGCAAACCCTTTGCATAAATACGATATATGCTTATCATTAATTAGTGATCAGTGATCATTGATTATAATACTAACCATGATACGGTATCAGCATCACCATTTACAACCATGGCCCTTAACAATGTATCAGTTCTACTGCTTCTAGTCCAGATAAATGTCAGTTATCCATGAGAACCTCAAGTGGCTATACGTGGCTTCACCTGGTAATCGAACCTGGCAATGGACAATCCCAATTTGTAATGATATTTTCCCGTTAAGATATGTTCGTGTTTTTCTATATAATCCTATACTGGTTGGTGGTTTCAGCTCCTCTGAAAAATATGAAAGTCAGTTGGGATGATGGCATTTTCAATATATGGAAAGTCATAATCCAGTCATGTTCCAGTCACCACCAACCAGTATAAAAACAACCAGTGAATTGCAGAATTTAGATCAGATTTTTCCCATGAAAACCCGAGGATTGAGGATTTCCAAGCCTGGCATCCTTGAGAACCCGCAGAACTCGCGTGCCTCGGCTTTCCGCTCAATGGCTTGGAAGGCCTGAGGGCAGCTTAGGGCTGACAAAAAAGTGGATAATTGTCGTTCTGGCAATCATGATTAATAGTATATTTAGTATTATAACAGAATTATAACTGACAGAGTATTTTGATAATAGTATAAGTTTCTGACAATTGATAATTGGCCATTATAATTGTGTTATACTGTAGTATTGTAGTATTAATAGCCATATTGATAATAACTGGCCAATGCATACATGATTGGTCAAAACTACTCATGAAATGTTGGTTTGAACATATTAAAGATTGAACATCTTTTGCTTCCGGGGATTCTTCACAATATCCTTTTTTCCCAATTTCCCTGAAAGAAGTCATTATGATAACCAATCAACAAGAGTAACACTTTGATGGGCCATGGATAACTAGTGAGTAAATGGATTATAATTGGGATATATATATATATATAGTGCCTATTTAAAGCCCACTTACTAACCAGGAATCGCTAATTCCATGGTAAATCTAAGTACAGTACCCTTCGGTAATCCTAGTTACCCTAGTTATTGGCAGGCGGTTAATACGGCGCCCTGTGAGGGTGTGTCGAATTTTGATATTTATTTTTTTGGATAAATGGAGTCGTATCAACTGCCTGCCGTAGTGTGGGGGGGTGGGGGCATGGGAGGGTGGGGTGGGTGGGGCTAATAACGTTCATGTACACTTGCGTAACACATGGAATGCTACGCTGTGCTAGGTTCGTGTACACTTGCCTAACACATGGAATGCTATGCTGTGCTACGTGCATGTACACTTGCGGACTTGCGTAACACTTGGAATGCTACGCTGTGCTAGGTTCATGTACACTTGCGTAACACATGGAATTCTACGCTGTGCTAAATTCATGAACACTTGCGTAACACAACAGTTGGACTCCACTTAGCGGCACTTAAACAAGTGGCGCTCTCAAAGTTTGCAGCAGAATATTATAAATTTGGCTTTAAATGCCATGCGTTACAAATGGGCATACTCCTACATGTGGAGACAATGCCAAGTGTGAAAACAATTTGGCTTTAAGAAACCTGAGCAACATTCTGTGGCGCTGATGTTGAAAAAGAACTTGCTGAAGCGGCTGTTGATCTTAAAACCTGAAAACTTGAAAATTCTAATGTTTTTTAAACCCTTCGACGATAAAATTGATATTTCACTGTGGCGAAATGCCAATGTTTACTGTCAAGTCATGCGCCTGCCATCGAAAAATCAACATGGACTTTGCTCTCCATTTGAGATTAACCTCTCAAATGTCCCACAAATACCACGTGTCTGTCTTTTCACAAAGAATCAATGAAATTGAAATCGACAACCTCTCACAGGGCGCCATATCAACCGCCTACCTAGTTATTGGAGTTATAAACCAAGCTATCATGAAAATCATGACTCAGCACCCATGAAATCCCAATTGTTGGTGGGTGAACTCACCATTTTCCCCAATGTTTTCCCCAAGGTTTTCCACCAAGTCCCTGGCCCAGGGCACCCAGCTCCCGCCTTTGTGAGCCGCTCCTCCAGGTGATCCACGCGTCCGCTGCCCGCAGTGCCTTGCAGCTCACCACCTGGCGCGGCTTGAGGGGGGACAGCCGGTGTAGGATGTGTAGGATGGGACTTGTTAGGGATTTTTTTCCCATCCATTTTTTAAAGATAATAATTATGGGCTAAATTGGTGACAGGCATTCTTCATTTTTGGGAATTCATATGGGCTAAATGCAGGAAACATCGTAAAACTATCCGTTTTTGGGATTGTAAATCATCAAGTCTTGATAATTAGCGTCCCCCGAACTGACAGTTTGACCCTGAGAATCAACAAAAAATTGCGGTCTGGGTAACACGCCAGACAAGGGGATGATGCAGGGTCGCATCGGTCATGGAAAATCCACCATAGCAGTTGATAAAGCGCTCACGAATTTGGACAGTGAAATGCCTAGAACTCAGTTCTGACCGAGCGGAACTCCGATTGTTTGGAGGCTGAGAACCTCTCAACTCCGATTCACGGGGCAGCTCTCTGTGTATCTTGCCAATCTCATGGTAACATAAGTTCATCTATACCTACCCATGTGAGAACATTGGGGAAAGAACTTGAAACACGATCTGGACAGTAGTCTAAATTTCTTCCGATATAGAGCCATATGTTCATATTTTCATCTATCTATTTTTCCAAAAGAATTTGGCATATTCATGGTCACACCCACAGCACTCTTCCTCCATGACCCCACAAGAGTCGCTAAGCAGGTCAACAACTAGCGGCCGCTAGAGGGCAAACCCTGGCGATACCAACTTGCCACGGATATCAAGCATCCAACACATAGTCAATTTGTTTTTTCAAAGATGAATATGATGAATATGATACTACAAAACCACTAGGCCTGACTTCTGTTATTCTTGGCTTTGAACAGGTAGAAATAATGAAAACATATGAAAACTACCCATGGATCGCCATCAACTCATGGTTGGCCGATGGGGTGAGATTGGTGCTGTGAGATCGCCATCAGAATGGAAGCTCCAACATCCACAGAAGCTGCCAGCCATGATTTGTTTCACCATTGGACCTCCAAGAGTTCCCCTTTTTGGGTTTACCCCATCCAAACGAACCGCTGCCGCTAGGCCTAGGGTGTCAATCTTCTGCACCGTGGATTGCATGAACCTGAGTTCATTATGAGCCCAGAAACTTTAAGTGGAAACATGCTGAAAGTCGTATACCCAAAATGGCAATTTTCCCCCGCTCCAAATATCCCCTCACTAGGTGTAGGGATGCGGCAATTCCCAAAAACACTTCAAATTATGGTCACCGACACCATTATGGAAAAAAATAAAACGTTCAACTTAGACAGGCGGCGCCTGCGTCCGATTTTTCCATAATTGGATTTTTCCCCATGAGGGTTCAAAATATCCCGGAAGTGATCCGAACCTTTTTTTCCATAATTCTTGGAGGTGGCCATTATTTCCATAATTGATTTTTCCTGTGAAATCAGGGGGCTAGGGCAGATTGACCGGTTTTTCCATAATTATTTTTTCCATAATTAATGTTTGGGGCTCCACCTGTTGGACATGTCATGGATCCACAATTCAAACCCGTTTTTTTTTGGGGTTATGGAAATATGTATGCAAATGCAAGTATGTAGTATCAACCCAATTGGTGGCTTGGCAAAAGGAAACATCCAGATATTATGTATATCAATGGCAGGCTTTAGGGGCATATACCAGATCTTTAGACACATATTTTCTATAATTCAATATTCCCCCTTAAAATGCATTCAAATTGCGAACATCACATGATATTATGTATCAATGGAAGACTTAGGGGCATATACCAGATCTTTAGACACATATTTTCTATAATTCAATATTCCCCCTTAAAATGCATTCAAATCGCGCATCGATGGACATACAGTCACCGACAGAATTATGGAAACAAATTATGGAAACAATAATTATGCAAAAAAAAGGTTCGTAACTTTTCTATCATAGACAGGCGGCGCCTGTAAATTGAAACGTTTTTTTTCCATAATTCTGTCGGTGACTGTAACCAGTCTCAGGAGGTCTTTGGAATTTCGTGTGCTGCTTGTCAGATTTGATCTGCTTCGCCCCAAAGTCAATAAGCCAAGGGTCCATTCATCATATTCATCGCGGGTTACAATGTATACTGCTGTAATTAATATACTGTATTATGTTAAATCAAAGTGCAATCTGTATACTGTGCCTATCCCCGTTGTCAGGGTCCAGATTCTTGCTGGATATCACGCCCGCTTTCAAGTCCATCTTGATACACAGAGGTTCCAAGAATTCCACGCCTGCGTGGCCAAGATCTGGGGGGTAATCCGAAAAATGGCTTCAGCCAGAGGCCAGGCCGCTTAAAGGCATGGCTTCGAACTGTAAGAACATCTGAGAATTCAGCATGGTTGATGTACTTCTGGCGCATTTGAGCCGAAGACTTGTTTGTACTCCACTGGTTCTCGGCTTTGGCTTCTGTCGCAGAGTTCTTTAGTTTCAGACACCTGAGTTGTAGTTTCGGACTTGCGCATTTTATTTTCCGAAGAACATGTTCTAGTTTTCGACCAGATGTTTCTAGTTGCTGACGCGCAGGGTTTTAGTTTCTGACGCGCCGTTTTTAGTTTCCGATTCATTGTTTCTGACGCGTGGGTAGTTTCCGGCACGGTTTGTTCATGGTATATAGACCCTTTAATCGAACTGTGAGACTAATCTCCTGTAGGTCCAGAAATAAACTGATTCCCCTTCTTCTATCAGATTAGGTGGTGTAAAACATCCACCATTGGAGGTCAATGGCCTTGGGCCTACCACTGAAAATCAGCTGGGACCCTGCCAAGAGACTCTTGGGCATCACGATCTAACCTTGGCTCTGGCTGTCGAGGATCCAAACTATCCACCACGTTTACCTTTATTTGTTCAACTATTTCAATTTATTTTCAAATGGTTGGTTTTCATCAATCAAACATGGTCTAAAACATAGTCTTTATTTATTTTTAAATAAATATTATGTGATATGTATATATAGTATAATATATATATATATACATTATATATATATATACGATATAGATATATGTATGATGGTGACACATATGTTCACCTTCTGCCACATTTTCGGTGCAGCGATTTTTTCCTGCCGCCAAGGTGACTGGTCGATCTTTTGGGCCATGCCGTGACCCAAGTGGTTCAGCTGCTGTTTCAACCTCAGATGCACTGAAGGATACAAGGATCAAGGTTGAATGGACTCAAGGGGATCAACAAGGACGAAGGGTTAAACAGCTTCCCTAGTCCTTCATACCGGCACCCTTCATGGATCGAAGAAACCATGTGGTTTGGGTCAATGGTGGGTATAGCGGTATAGCTAGATAGTGCTTTTATAACTAGTTTGATGGGTTAATGCTGGATATATCTTCAGGGCAATAGGCTTATAAACATGTTGAACTAGAAGGGGGGCTGATGTTGCAGGAAACAATCAAATTCCGATGATTCACCATGTTCAATGGATTGGTTAACTAGGGGGAAATTCAGCAAGCCAATAATTCTAAGGACTCAATGGATTGGTTCAAGGATAAGCATGCAGAACTCCCCTTTTGGTCTACCAGCAACGTACCATTGGTCCATGGGCTTACGATTTTTAAGCGAAACAAAAATCACTCCGCATTTTTGGTGGTGACACAAGATCAACTATCACCTCCCACTGGCAGGAAGGGGACCAAACTAACCCAAGATAGAACCAATAGCACCTCAAACGTGCGACAACTCCAAGCTAAAGATGACCATTTGCCGGTAAACGCAGCGTCCAAAGCTGATTGTGTTGGATCCCAAAACAGGAAAATTCAGGACGACATGTTTTTCTCGATTTCATGGCGGCACAAATGAAAATAAAATAAATATGATTATATAAAAATCGCAGGGCTGTTGCTGGTCCATACCAAATATCACACATTGGTCAGTTCCCAGGAACTCTCCCACGTGGGGTTGAAGCAATATCTGGAGTTCGGCACCCAATACTTCACCCAATCCTAACCATCCTAGGAATGGATCAACTGCTCCGACTGCAGTTCTGTGGCTACTTTTTTGCCCCGGTGTCAACTATCATCTGATTTTGACACTGAACCCTGCCCCACTGTTTTCCACATGGGTGGGAAGCCCTGTACCGCGTCGTACCGTACCACAACTGTTGCTGTTCTTCACCATGCCCACTTCGCTTTTGAAACAAATTGCTGGTATGTAGCCAAGCGGAAATCATCATTCCAAACAAACATGACTTTCACACATATTCTATGAATTGATTTGGTAATAGATTTAAGACTGAAACATCCTGAAACCACTTCCTTTCATATCTCCAGTTTTCTGCTTGGCTAATCTCCCAATGAATGGTACTAGCGAACCCTGCGATGCGCCAAGAACTGCAAGGCCTATGACTCAACCGTTCTCCAGTTCGGAAAAGGATTCCCACGTTGTGTCGGGGGTCTGGGTGAATTGCCACAACTCAAAAGTATGAATAAAGGCAATTCATGGATCCCTACTTTGGTCATTCAATCCGGGAAACCACCAATATCCGTGGGGAAAACCACAATCAAAAGTAGGGTTTATGCATTTTCTGTGGTTTCCCTACCCAGACTGTTCGCACCAAATTCACCCAGACTTGTGAGTACCCAATCTTTGTGAGTTTTTATGTCCAACGGTGCCGCATCCGCCATTTCAAATGCCCACGGTGGATCAAATGAATTCAATGAATATCGACCCTGAAAAAATCATGGTTCAGTGACCAAACTGCCCTACACATGATAGGTGCGACCTCCCACTGAAGGGTTGACGGACTCCACAAGACTCCACGCTTCACCGGAGTTTCACACCGATCCTCGGCAAAGTTGTGGCCAGTGCCGAAGCCTATGGGACTAGGACGGAGGCAGTACCATCTGCAACCATCAACCACCAACCATGTTGTTCCACGCTGGGCAAAACCCCTGGACCTCTCCAATTGGTTGGCTGTTGTTGACATGATCTTTCAAATAGTGCTGAACTTGTTTTGTCCGATAGTGACTTATGATTAAGATATATGAAGATCTATGAGAGAGGTCTATGGATTGGCCGGTTCAACCATATGATTGGCCGGTTTAACGTATTTGGTGCCATCCATCTTGGCCTGGGATCAGTTGGACATGCAATGCGATCAATTGATCTTTGTTGACTCACCCCGCTTCATGTTTGATTGAAATCACCATAAATCACCAATGGTGGCTGCTGAGAGCTCCGCGTTTTGTCTACATCATCTGCATCAGCTTTTGGTTACATGTTGCATCAAATTATCGTAAATTATCATATTACATCATAGTTTGTGAAGTAAGTTGCGTTGAAGCAACCATGAAGTAGCTTGTGATTTGCAATGATTCTGGTAGAACTGTGGAACTGGTGACTTTGTTTCGTTGAAATTTTCTGGAAGTCTGGATTGGCCATATTGGATTGACCAGTTATACCACCCCCATTTAGCACATCAATGATATAAATCATGCTAAAACCAGATCATGATTTATACAATATCATGCCAAGCCATGTTATATATACTCATGTATAAAGCATGTTGTGGTGGGTTTTGTCCCCACCATTCCTTGGCCAAAATCATGTTGTTGAGGTGAATCCACCCCAGGCACCTTCCGCATTTCTGCAGCTAAGACTCGACTTGCCAGCTTTGATGTCGTACTCCGCCGTGGCAGAATCCACACTGCACAACACCTGGAGCGAGGTGTTGAACATGTGGGATTCAACAATGGCCATGGTTGGTCACAACCCGGTGCCCGGATGGCTACAAGTAAAACAGCTGTTTTATGGATGGTTATTCCCCCAAACATGATAGGTTTGGACCCATCCCCACATTGGTATATGGGTTTGTCTGAAAATGGGAATCACACACTTTGAGGCCATTTCAGATATTTAGGGACAGTTTGGCAGGGACCATGGTGATAAGCCATTGGTTTTGACAAAATTGACCAACATCTACTGAATGATTTCTCGAAGGGATCTTGAGGGTTTAATGTCTGCTTGAGGAAGCCAAAAGACAAATGGTTTCTCACAAAAAGGTCCCATTAGACCCAACCCAATGCAGCAAACACATTTTTTTGGCAGCCCGACGAAATACTAAAAATCTAAAAAGTGAAAAAGAAACAAGCCTTCATACATGCAAACATATGTATATTTTAAATATGTATGTATCTAACAAGACTATATAGTCGATCTACATTCAATATTGGATGCCATTTGAAAATTCCCTAAACATGTAGAATACTGATTCAAACCTTTATGCCTTTGCGGTTTGCCTTCAATCTTGCAAGTTCCATCGTTCACGCCTCATCACGCTCGAGATACTCAAACTTAGCACGGGCCACTCCGGCAGTCCAATCGATGACAGGGGGCCTAGCTGCTCGACACATTTCAACCATTGGGATCTCAGCTATTGCAGCAGTGGCCAACATTGGTGAAAATGAACATTAAACCATCAAACACATCACATACCTGTCAAACATGGGGTTTCATCCAGATATGACAGATTGACCAGCCAATCTTATTGGGTTGTTTCTTGTCAAATTTAGTTCCTTGCATACATATATATAATATAAGCAAATTGTCATTATTGCAGTTGTCAGATATTTTGAAGAGATGGGCTGAGATGGGCTAAATATCTGACAACTACAATAAAATCAATAAATACTTGATATGTTGTAGTTGCTTGGCCAATTTTTTTTTTTAAAAAAACGCATGTTTGGGGCTGAGATGGCCTGAGTTACCTTACCAGCCATCATGACCGGCTGGGACGTCGCTGCGAGGTGAATATCATTCATCGCCTGCCTGCTCCTCCTGAAATGCTCCTCTAATGGGGCCGTTCATTGATTAAAACATGCAATTTGTGCTTTAATTTGTTTACCACATGGGTGAATAATATTGAATAATGACGTAAACAAAGAAACACGTGCTTGGTGTTTTTGCATCGGACGTTGGCGCGCACATCATTCAATGAATTTGATGGAATTTGCTATGTGCTGAACTACATGTTGTCGTATAGCTGAGATTCAATATAGAATGGACCGACAAGCACTTTGCCGACTTCCAAGTTTTGATCAAGCCACCCACTAAGCTTCAGGAACTCTTGCCAATTGTCAGGACTTCTGTCCTGCATGGCAAACATGTCTATCATGACGCTGTCCCTTCTACTGCATCCAGTCCCTCCAACGTTCATCATGGTTAAACTAAAGTGATTTAAAGTGTAGACTGAAACTTGCGAAATTCCAGGTGTTATATAAGCATTGTTAATGTCTTGAAGGTTCTGGCGGATCAAAACTCCATTCCAAATGACGCAAAAAACGTGACAGAGGGGAGCACGGAAAAGGTGAAGCGCAACCCAAATAGATGTATACAAAAACACATGATGTGTATACATATATATATATTTGCAAATAGCTCCGACAACTCCACCATTCATGACTATAACTATGCATCACTATCATGTGTCTACGCATATCTACGTACAATCATACATTTGTTGTATCTGTATCTATACTTTATATGTGCAGAGATAGAGATTGATAGAGAGTAGGTATTCTACTTTTTGTTTCTTCCTCGGGATATGGCACATACCTCCAACGTCAGCCACTCGCCGAGCGAATCCCAGAGGGGTCCTTGGGAGTGCACCATGCGCGCGCAACGGATTCTAAGAGCTCCTAGCGAGTCTGGGCTGTCAAGGAACCATAAAAAAAATGAATAGTGAAACTTGACGGACTATGAATCTGACAATGATTGGTGGTAACTGAGAATGAAAAGTGACTTATCCCTTATTTTTTTAAAGATGCCATTTGCCGCCAGTAATTTGTTGATGAAAACGCTATGAATTATTGGGGGCTACCGGGCTACCACTGACAATCCACCATACATTTCAACCACAATGTATGTTTTGTTCATCAACCATTAAAGTTCACCGAAGTTGGGCATTCCTTTAATGACTGATGAAAACATATTCCTTTATTTCAAATACTTCAATTGCGTTTTGTTGATCGACCATTTTCACAATGATATCAACCAATGATTCTTTTGGGGATTGCTTTCTGCCCTGTGACTAAAGAATCATTGGCGTTCAATGGCTCAGGGTGCTCCCAACACACCAAACACGTACAAGGGTGGCTGGCAAATCTTGGGTAAATATACAACGGTCAATGGTCAAATGACAAGTTCAATATATATATATATACTGTAAAAAAATATATATATGTATGTATATATATATGTGTGTGCATCCATCAACAAAAAGGCTATCATTTACCGAAAAGATTTGGGCGATGTCATTCAATTGATAAACATGCCCAAAGCCGTTTTTTTGCACTAAAGAAAAGGCAGCGATAGACAGCGTCACTGTTTGTTTTCCATCACCACTCCACCATATCAATTTGAACATCCAATTTGTCAATTTCAGCACCAGCTTCATATTAATCCAGAAACATATTCCCTGATACATGACCATCTACTGGGACGCTCTCCTGAATGGCCTTGCCATCTGTCTCCACCACCGAAGCTTCGGTGAGAACTTCCGACATGGCCACGGCAACACGCAAGGAACATGGACCAGGATCATACACGCGGTTCCATCTGATCATGATGGATGAACATGAATGAATATAAGAAAGGGCTGGAATCCTGCATTTTTTTCGAAGAATAAACCACAAAAAAAAATCTCTATCTGCCCAGCAGTGTTTTCAAATGCTGAACGACCTAAAACGGGGGAATGGCAAGGCGGGGGCTTTCTGGTTGTTTGGCCGCGCGAAGGGAATTCCAAGCACTTAAACGGGGTGTTGGCTTGACATAACTTAACCAGTTTGAATGTGAAAACTAAACCCGCGAGAAAAAAACAACTTCCCAGTTAGAAATTCACCCTGATTCTGATTTATATTTGAGACCATGAGCCAACTCGGCACCCATGGAAACTCCATCGGATCATTCAACGATTCAAGCGGCTGAGCAATGTCTTGCTGCTCCGCCTTTTGCATGAGCAGTGCACGCTGATCCCCCACCTGCTGTCAGGAGCGGAGCCGTTGATATGGCTATAGTAATAATGTGTGATGGGGATTAATAAGGATTAATGGGGATTAATGGTGTTTAATTTAATGGTGTTTTTAATGGGGATTCAAGATCATATGACCCTCTGATTGTTCAACATAGCTATGGAAACCATGGCCCATCATGGCCCATTCGCAAATGATGTGTGATGATTTTCCCATTGAAGATGGTGATTGCCCATAGCTGCGTGAAATAACCAGAGGGTAAAGCTAATCTCAGAAGTCCCATAAAGGTTGATATCGAAATAAGATCCCCCCCCTCCCCCAAAAAACATGGTTAATCATCATGCTCCCTCTTAAAACAATCAGTTTGGGGGAGATGCCCTTGCCCTTTCTTGAGACAGACCCATGAAACCTTTCTTCAATGCAGGTGGGAAAACTATCCTTCGTTCATGAGAAAGTGATGGTTTACTCTGTCTATAAATCATGGCCAATCTTAGATAACCTGTAAAAAAATTCTTTTCTTAGCTGGTGAACGTAGATAATCCCATTGATACCAAAAGACTAGAGGATTACAATCAACTACCCATCTAAGATTGACCTAGAAATGGGTATCAAGATGGAAATTATCTAACAACCAACTAGAATGATTTACAGGATTATGGACTTCTATAAATGCAGACTTATACGATCATACTACCATATCAATTTATGCGGCGTTCTTAACTCAACCAATTACTTCAACCAATTATGTACATATATATATATAATATATATAAATGATCGACAATGATCAGTGGAAATGCATTTGTCCCCAAATGGGTTGCATACGAATAATTATGGTTCTTTTGGTGTAGAAAACCATTCTCCACCGTCAAATTTGAGGCTATACTGGTTCAACACACGCAACCAGGGGTTCACCTACGAAAATTGGGATGACTTACAGCGATTGGATTCAACCACGGATTTCCAAATATGGGATGTACTCCCACCCCCTAATATCAAATACCCTCTGGTAAACTAACATAACCATGGAAAATCACAATTTTTAATGGGTAAATCCACTATTTCTATGGCAATTTTCAATAGCTATTTTGACATAACCAGAGGGTACTCCTGATGAGGAATCCTTTAGATCAATTGCTACTGGAGAGTAAGAACCTGCATGGAATTTCTCCGCACATATGGGTATATAACCATCAAACATGATGATTATTATGACCCCCAATGGTGATGTTACAATCTAACGCAGGGATTTCAACCAATGAATCATGAAGATAGGTTATGCCCAGAGATGGTGGTAGACGCCTTTATCAACACTAGCTCTAATAACCCAATCTAAACATATGTGTTTATCATTCATAAGCAATATATATACATATATATGTTATATAAGCTGCTTATACTTGGCACCCATCTAATTAGGTCATTCAAAGTCTAGCTTTACATCGCAATACAACTCTATTAAACCAGAACATTTAGTTTTGACTAGGGACTTGCCATGTTGATAGTGAACTGTATTAGAATGCGTTTAAACTCTTAGTAGATGGTAATCCCAAATGAGCAATGTCTCTGTGGTCCTTTTACATTGACTGTCTAATAGGGATTCCCAGCTCATTTTTAATCCCAACAAGAAATATCATGTCCAACAATTACTGTTATAATAAGCAAAAGTCATAAATAATTTATCATTACCGTTGTTATCATATAATATAACAATTACATATAGGTTATTACTGGGTAGTATGGTAGTATAGGGCAAGTGGTTGGTTACCACGCTATTTAATTTTTAATTAGCAATGGTTGATACTAAGCAAAGACATAAATTCATCTGTTTACACTCCTCTGATCATTATTCTGGGTAAGTTATAACAACTCACTAACCTGAATAGTTTGGTAAATTATAATTATCACAATTATCCAGTAATTAGACTTTATATCCACTATTATCCCACAATATACCACCATTAATCTCCATCTGGTTGGTGGTATACCTACCCCTCTGAAAAATGATGGAGTTCGTCATTTGGGATCATGACATTCCCAATATATGGAAAGTCATGTTCCAAACCACCAATCAGCCATTATAACCATAAGGTGATCCCTTCGACTCATCTTCCAGGAATCGCCTCCTTGGATAACTTCTCGATGTGTGCGGCCATCCTTGGAGATGGCGCCAGGCTTTTTCAAAAGGTGCGACGAAACACGGGTGATTCTTCACCAAGGCAAAAGGGAGTTATAGGGATTTAAAAGGATTTATAAGTTCTTATAGCTGATTTGCAGTGGCCAACTCAGTAACTAGCCTAAGTACTCGATTTGAATGTTATATGAATATATATAATTATATATATATATATATGTATAGGTATCATAATCTATAGTTCGTGGGAGTCAACTGGGGTTGCAAACTCTATAGTTCGTGGGAGTCAACTGGGGTTGCAAACTAGAAAACATATTTAACTGCGGGTTCATTTTGCAAGCAGGTTCGTGCTCATGTCTGCAAACTGAGCCCCATATGGATCCATATGGTGGATTTGACAGCACTATAAAAACAACTTCTCCATCTTGTGATATAATATATATATAATATATTTAGTGGATAAATCAAGAACAGGTCCCTTCAACAATAAATAGACTCAATTAGACTCAAATAGATCCAGCTTAAGATTCGATTGTTTTTTTCCCAACAACTCCTTTTCCCGTTGGAGACAACAAGAAAAACAACATCTTATTGCCGTTTATCAATGGGAAAAAACATAAGGCGTTTTGCCATGTGTTTCTCCCGATCATATTCTTGTTGGAGACTTCAAGTTCGCTGCTGAGCTGCTGCTCGATTCTGGGCCCCAGCAAACTGAGGCCATGGAGCATGTCGTCCATGGCCCTGTACGGATGTGCGAAAAACATACCCAGGTACCTAATTTGTAACATCCAGCTCAACGCAGAAAATATACAGAGACAGGGAAAATAAGGAGTAAATGACAGATTGTAAAAAAAAAAACATGTTTGACCAAAACACACAGATACAGCTGCGATATGCCTAACCAACACGTGGTGTTCACAGGATATGATATACTGTCATGCTATCATGGACGACTGGCTCTCTATAGACCCCAAAAGATATGTATATATATATGAGATATGTATATTAATGAATGTTCATTAAGATAGCTTTAACCGGGAAAACAGGACAGACTCTGGACTAGCCTAAAGAATCCTTGCAATTCGATACAGCGAAAGGCAGGTGCAAAAAGTCTGCCCTTTTCTTGAGCCATGTGCAAACGGTCATCCTTGTGCAGGGGCCATGCAATGAACGGTCGTCCAACAAGCATGCCAGTCCTACAGTAGACAGCACTTCTTGATTTGTGCATGTCATTCTTTGAAAACGGCACCACACTCCCCCAATGTTGCTAGGTGCAACATTTTCGGTGGCCGTAGCAAAATGCCAGACCAAAGCTTCGTTGGCTGGTCTTATAAAAGGAAAAGAGCCCTGCTACATGTCCTCCTCTTCATTCTCGGGAGTCTCGGCAGCGCCCTCGTTCTCATCTTCGGACACCAAGGAGTAGTCGTCGGTGGTGTTCCCCTCAGACTCCAAGGCCTCCTCTTGAAAGCTCTCAGCTTCCTCCAAGCCCTCCGGGGGTGGGTCCAAGCGCCGTTCGGCCTGGTACGGAGTGCCCAGTGCCTTGGCGACCAAGGTGGGCTGTTTCGCCCATGCTCCAGCCACGGACCCCCGCGGGGTAATCAGCCCCGGGTCCCCTCTCGTGGCCCAATCTCCAGGGATCACCGTAGAGCTCGAGGATGCCAAGCCACCTGGGTTCTGCTCCGGCGGTCGCATTGCCATCCGCAAAGAAGCCAGCAGCGGATTTCCACCAGGTCGATCTCCAGCTCCAGTTGGAATGACCCCCATAGGTCCTGCCCCCATCGACATAGATCCGGCCGAAGTCATCTGGCCCACCTCTCGATCATCAATTGGCCCACCAGTGCCCATCGCAGCTCGTCCACGAGGTCCAGGTCCAGGGCGGCCACGAGGACGATCTCCTTCAGCTCCTGCAGGGGCCTGGTACCGGCCTGTCTTCGGAGTTGGCCTGCAGTACCCATCAGCCTTTGGCCACGGTGCCGCTCCAGCTCCAGGTGGCGGGTAGGCGCTTGACATACCGCCCTGCTTCGCCATTGGTGGCAAAGGGCCCTCATCACTCCAGGTCACTATGTCAGGTCGGATTCGAGGGAGACCTGAGCTGTTGCCTCCGGCTTGATCCCCTTCTCGCACCCGGAAGAAGGTGTATCCCTTCCATTGGTCCACACCAGGAATGGGTTGGCCACCAAGACCCCAGAAATCCTGGTGGATCATCCTGGTCCATGGGCGCCCACCAGGGCAATGCCAGATCACCGTGACCCGCTCTGCCTCCAAGTCCTCCGGGCGGACCGGCGTAGAGGTGTGCACCGGGTGGAACAACCTCGACCTCAGCCCTCCATGGACTCTGCAGTACCAGCCACCCACCAGCGACCTCCAGCGGTCCGAGTTCCCAGTCGGCATGCCCTGGAACTCCGCGCTGTTCCAAGGTCCCTGAGGGTCTCCACCAGCCATGGCGTGCCCGCCCAACGCACAGAGCCGCGGGGTGACGGCCGAGGAGCCTGTCAGGCTACAGTGGGTAGCATAGTCATTAGTGCTAGTTCCCATTGGGCCTGGTTCATGTTCCCTAGGCCTCTTGTGATGTTCTTGTGCTGGTCTTGTTTCACTGTTTTCATTCTTCATGTTAGCCATAGATGCCAGCCCTTCATGACAACACATCCAAGCCGTCAGAGCCGACAGGCTAACAGCTCCGGCAGTTTTCACCAGTTGGCTGGCTCCGTTTTGGAGCACCAATCCTCCAAGTGCAACTACCGCCTCAACCAGGCGACAAAGCCGTGATGTTTCATCCGGCATGGAAAACTTGGTCAAACCTAAGGTCCTACGGAAAGACTCCCAGCTGGTCGGCAGCACCACAGGCTTCGTCAGCAAATCGGCCGCCAGCTCTGCTCCAGGAACGTGTTCCACATGCCACTCGCGAGAAGCCAATCGCTCTCGCAGGACAAAGCTCCTCAGCCTCAGGTGGCGTGTGCGCCAAGGACCATCAGGCGCCAGCAACAATTGGATCCCAGACAGATTGTCGCCTCGGATCTCAAACTGGCCATCATCGATCATGGCGTTGTGCTCCAGGATGTTCAGGATAACCTGAAGCGACTCGCCCATCGTCAGCGCATCCACATATCCAATGAGCTCGGCCTCCGTACTGCTCAAAGCAGCAAAAGGTTGCCTTTTGCTCTCCCATTGGACCAGAGCGCCACCCCACAGTGCCAATATGCCTTGGCAACCACGAAGTCCCTGTGGGGCATGTGAAGCATCCGACAGGAGGGTGAGCTTCATCAGCTCATCGGTTGGCTCCCCCTGATCTGTCAAACAGCTCTTGTAGGTCAAGACAAACTCCCAGGTCTCCTGCAGGTAGCCCAGCAAGTAGCGTCCCAGCTCCTGAACCTTTTTGGGGCACTTTGTCACCCAACCGCTCAAGGTCGATACGGCGAAGGCCAGGTCAGGTCGGGTTCGACCACTCAACCAAAGGAGTTCTCCCAGCAACTGCTGGCACCTGCGAACATCCGCAGGGTCAATGCTGTCCTCCACATCCGGAGCCATGTCAATCTTCGGAAGTGGAACTTGGCGACCAGGAACTGGACCATGTCGTTCAAGAAGCTCGCGGGCAAAGTCAGGCTGACCCAAGAGCAAGGAGTCTCCCTGCCATCTGAGCTGCATCCCACAGAACTTCAGCCATTTGACCTCGTTGACCCACTCCACCTCCGAGCACGTCCACTCATCCCGGATTCGGCCCAAAGAAGCTTCAACCACATGGCGAGGTCCAGCACAAAGGATGTCATCCACATAGACAATGAGGAAGCCAAGAGGATCCGCATGAGCATCATCGTTGATGACTGCCTCCGGGTAGTTGGTCTTGGAAACCCCCATGATTGACCAGATGTTGGGTTCTGGCGATCTCACCAAGTGGCACCGATGGGTTGAAGTTTCCCATCGGAAGGACGGCATGCGGCAGTCCCTGAATGATGCCCAATCTGCTGGGGAGGTATCTAAACCATACATGGCACCGTCACAGATCCAACGTTCCTCCGCAGAGACTAAGCCAGTTGAGGTCAAAAGTCGCGGAGGCTCCACCACCAAAAGCTGCCGTCGGGTCTGTGATCTGGGAGCCAATAGAAATGCCCCTCTCACGTCCGTTGATGCCAAGGACCAAGAAGCCCCTGCTGCCTTCCTCAGGACACACCTCAGAGCCGTAGAGTCAACACCACCCGCATAAAGATCTGCGGCAGCGGCCGGTCCACCACCTCCAGGCCTTTCGGCTCCATCCCCATTCGGGTCCTTCCCATCCCCGAGGTTCTGCACTGCCGGTGATGCTGCTCCATGAGGTCGATGACAACCATGAACTCCACCATCAGGAAGTTGTGAAGGTTTCACATGCCCAGCAGGATGCACCATGTTGCCGCAGATGACGATTCTCGCCTTCCGCTTTCCCGAGGGTGACTTGATTGTGGGGACAATCTTCGCCGGTGCCACCTCCATCCGGTCGTAACCTGGCTCATGCACCAACTGATCCACCTTCACCCGGCGAATCGTTCCAGAGCTCACCAAAGCCTCCATCTCGGCCTGCAGCGGCTCCTTCCACAAGTTGATGTCCTTCTTGACTTCGGCCAGCGACACTGTATAGGTTTGTAGCACCGCTCGAGCCTGCTCAGGTTTGTCCAGAGGCTCCAGATCATCCACCATAGTCTCCATGCCCTGGGAGAGTGCTGCAATCCTGCAATTCGCGGTCTCCTGGTTCAAGGTCGAAGTGCTAACCAGCGCCAACTCCTCCTCCAGGCTCTTCACTTGGCCCTCCAAAAACTGCAGCCATTGGCCATGGATCAAACCGATCTCGGCCCCCACAGCTTCTCTAGAGAGTTCCTGTTCCCAAAGCTTTTTCCATCCCCAATGTTCACGATGAGCACTGTCCACCAAGTCCTCAAGGTTGTGGATCCCCACAGACTCCCAAGCCCGTTCGCCTGCAGGACCATGCCCAAATTGAACATCCATATCGTCAAGGTCCGGCCGCCCATCCAAGCCCGACTGTGAAGGCACCCACAATGATGTAGATCCCGCTCCATGCAAGCCCGATGGTGAAGACACCTGCATTGATGTAGATCCAGCTCCATGCAAGCCCGATGGTGAAGACACCTGCATTGATGTAGTTCCAGCACCATGCAAGCCCGGTGTCAACGACGCCTGCAAAGCCAGAGATGCTAAGCCCGACCGTGAGGGGGAACTCAATCTCGCAGATTCACCACAAAGGTTGCAGTCCTCGGTATCCGGCTGCAAAAGCCCACAACCATCACATTCTTTCAGTGCCCTTGAGGTTGAGGCTGTTGTGGAAGAAGCTGGCGAATTTGAAGCCCCCATAGCCTCCTTTGAATCCCTTGAAGTGGGGTTGGACTCCCCCCTGCCCACATTGTACGTAGGGCAGGTTCCGCATCCACACTTCCACCTTCGCCTCCATCTTGAAGTTGGTCTCCAGGAGGATCATCAGGAAACTCATCCGGAGAATAGCCCAAGCTGAGCACGTCCTCCCCCAGATCTGCGATTCCAGCCTCCCCCCAAACATCATGGGAGTCATCCAAAGCCAGATCTTCTCGCAGAAGTTGAGGTAGATCATCATGCTGAAGAGGTTGAGGAACCTTCCGGTCTTCCAAATAGGGAGGCTGTTTCCCTGTCACCCTTCTGGTGGAAGCATCATAGAGCTCCATCACCGCCTTCTCTCCTGCCTCTGCTGGGCGCACCACTGCCCGTGCATGTTGAACTTTTCTTCCATCTCGAAGCACCCAGCCATTCGTCATGTTTGGACTTGGCCCCATGAGAACCATTGACTTGAAAGGAGCTGCCAGTGGACCCTGCTTGTGCCAGCGCTTGGTCTTCACCACCACGCGCTCCCCCAAAGGAACCATAGGTTTTGAAGGTACTCCAACCTTCTGCAGCTGCATCCGAAGCCTCTCTTCTCCAGCCCAGCGTGCCACCCCAGGCCAGTCCTGCAACTCCAGCTTCGAGGTCGCCAAGAGCACCCTCAGCCTCCTCTTAATCTGTCCCACCTCAGCCTCGACCCTCCCGTTGGCAGGTCCATCATCGCCACTCGTCATGGTCTGGTAGAGGGAGTGGCTGGAGCACCACCGTTGGAACGGCTTCGACAGGAAAGACTTCTCACGGTCAGTATGGACCCTCAGGATCGGGACCCCGAGTGCACGGAATCTCCCATACACCCTGCTTGTGGCTTCCACCAGGTGTGCAATGTGCCTGGACTCCAGGACCTCGACCAGCGTGATGTTCTGAAGTCCCACTGGCCCCTTCAAGCCGTCAATGTGCTCCATCCATGCCTGATTCAGGCGTTTCACTGCATCGTCATCTACCATCTCCACCTGCTGCTCCTCGTCCACCTCTTCCACAAGCATTCCTTCCTCTGGTTGTGGTTGATGTTGATGAGCCTCAGGTTGATCTCCTTCATCAGGTTGTAGTGGAGGTTGAGCCCCATGTTGGCCGCCTGCATGACCATCCAAGCTGTGATCCACGTCCTCCTCAGCCGTCTCTGCCTTTTCCTGCATGTTGACACGGTCCAACATTGGCAAAGGAACTGTGGCCACCAGGATGTACTTCCCCTTTCGTCGACGACCATCGTCCCTTCCGACCGGGTACGGTCCCACCAGGTCCATTGAAAGAACATAGGCTGAGCTGTCAGCATGCGACCTCCGATGTGGGCTGTCCACTCCTGCAAGCTCCATGCACCGACGGCAATCTCGTCGATATGGATGATGATGCGCCCTGACATGCTGCTTCCACTCCTCAACGTTCAGCTTGTGGATGCGCTGAACCAGGCATTGACTTCGTTGATGAAGATAAGCCCTCAGCGCCTCTTTGAGTGCCATCACCAAACCAGGTGCCCAGCTCGCCCAGTCCCTTGAAGCCTCCATAGATTCCTGCAGCCCCTTGGGAAGCGGGTCCGTTCGCCGAGATGAATCTCTCAAGCCGTCCAACTGTTCCACTCCAGGCAGGTTCCCAAGGATCGTAGTTGGCTTCCGTCGGGCATGCCCCATCTGGGATTGATCGAAGCTCACCAACTTCAGGCCCCCCAGTCCGACCATCTCCTTCATCTCAGGGAAGTTCCAAAAGGACGGAAGGTTGTGTGCCGCCTCAGCTCCCAAGTAGGCCATTGGATCCTCTGGAGATTCCAATGCAAAAGCCGTGGGAAGCGATTGAAGCTCTGGGACCTGCATGCGTTTCTCCTCAGCCTTGATGAAGAGTCCAATCTGCTTGAAGAGCAGGGCTGTGTCAGAGTTGACCCGATGAAGGTCCCATGTTGAAAGACCTTCCAGGGAAAAGCGCCATCCATCTCGCCCCCTCAAAGGTGGCGGTCCCGGCTGGCGTTGCCTCAGCCTTGAGGTTGTGCGACAAGGCGGGCCACCCAGGATCGCGGCAATCTTTCCAGCACAGGCCAACTCCCAAATGAAGGCCCAAATCGATGCCTCATGTAGATCAACTCCTTGGAGAGTGTCAATGGTGAGGACAACATAGCCCTCCTGTTCAAGCTCAGCCCACTGCTTGAAGTTCCGACCAGAGAACAAGTGCAGGATGACTCCACGAGAGCGCCATAGCCTTCGTCGCGATGACGGTTCCAAGGCAGGCTGGCGGCATGATCCCGCCATGAATCGCCCTGCCCCTTCATAAACTTCCAGACTGAAGATGGCACCTGTGGAAAGCGATTCGCCCACCAATTCAATTCATCCTCTCTGACTTCAACATCGTTCTGCTGCATGTCGGCCAGCAAATCCAGACCCTCAGTTCGAGGCATCACAGGGCAACCACCCCTCAAGCTGCACTTCAATGGCCCCCGGGTTGGATGATGGATCACAATGCTATCTCGGCGCCAGGTGATCCTGTAATCCGCCGCCACCAGCCATGCCAAAGGGATGATAGGCTCCACCGGCCCCTTACTGAGCAAGGTCTGATGCTTGGGGTGCTTGTAGAGCACTGTTGACCCACAAGCCAGCTCCACCTTCGTGGCAATCAGGTCCGGTTCCTCCTCGGGCTTAGCCTGTCGAAGCCCATGAGTGGCACCTCCATCCAACAAGGCATACCCACCAGGCCCACCAAAGTTCCCTTCTCCCACGGACTTCATCCGCACGGCCTTCAAAGACCTGATGGACTTCAGGAGGCTTGTAGCTTCTCGCATCAGCTCTGCTGCCGCCTCTGTTGAAGGCTCACCCATCGGCTCCGTCGTGGTGGAGTCTCCACCTTGGGTCTCCTCCGAAGCTCCACCAGAGGCTGTGTTGGTCACCTCCTTGGGCTTCAGCTCATCTCCACCAGCCGTCTTCAACTTCTGAGAGTCCCCGGCGGAACCTTTCACAGCCGGCTTAGGCGTCGCCTTCACCTTAGAAACCTTCTTGGGTTGTAGGCCATCCCCCATCGGACCAGCCGATGGAGTTGAGGTAGAAGTCGAAGTAGATGAGGTTTTGGCAGTGCAGTCCTTTCGAAGATGCGCCGAGCTCCCACAATTGAAGCACCGACCTTTCATGTCCGACGTCTCGTGAAGGAACGTGCACTGTGCCCCACGTTTGCACCCTTCAGGGGTCTTCCAAAACTTGCATGGAGACTTCAAAGTAGTCCCTGTAGGCACACTCATCGTCGATGTTGGCACATCCAACCCGGCCATGGCCTTCAATGACGTGGCCCCCTGAGCACCAACCGTCGTGGCCTTCAAGCCAATCCCAAGGCTCAGCTCCTCCGCCTCAGACTGAAGGTACTCAGCGTACTGCTCGATGGATGGGGCCATAGGCCTGATGTCCACTCCAAGCTCCTGCCTCACCGAAGCTACTCGGTATGCCAACTGCGTGCCACCAAGCTTTCCCAACGCGTCTGCAAAGCGGTGCAAGACTCCACCCAAGATGACCGGATCCGGCAGCGCTAGATTCAACTCCAACGACCTACTCATCAATCTTCTCCACCTTCGAAGTCCACCCAGCAAGTCCGGTGCGCCAGCTGCCACCCTTGGCTCCGTGAGCTGTTTAAGGATGCTCACCCTCTCAGAGCTCCCACCCGGCTGGAAAATAGTCCACAGCCTGTACATGATGCCTGTCACCGTCATAGTCCGGCTGGCAATCAAGTCCTGCTTGATGAGCTCCGGGATGCACTTCAGCAGCATCGGCACCACCCTCTGCTCCAAGCGTAGGTGCGCCTCAGAGCGCTGGATCTCCAAAGGTCGAAGTCGGATCCTCTCCAAAGGAGTCGATGTGAGCCACCGGTCATAGAGGTTTGAGGCTTCCCTCAAGATTTCACTCCACCACCCACGAGCTGATCCAGCAACATCTCCAATCATTGGGGTGACCACCGTGATCCAGTCTCCAAATTGTAAGGCCGACTGCTCTGAACCTGGCTGTGGAAGTAGAGGAAGATCGGAGCCTCTCAGCTGCTCCATAGGCGATACAGCTCCTTGTTGTTGATCTGGTCCTCCAAGTCCAGGGGGTCTCACTACCGAGGTAGTTCCTGATGTGCCACCACCTCCAAAAGACGCCATAGGGCCTGAGGCATTCCAATCACCAGTGAATTGACCACCACCGTGTGGCCCAGCAGCGTACCCTTGTGAGTTCGCCGTTGATCCCATGCCCCCACAAAGTCCACCAGCATGAAGGCCACAGTAGGAAGCACCTGCTCTGCCATGAAGTCCAGGAGATTGGCCACCAGGAATTCCAGGTGAATGCACTGCCATCGGTGACACCGGTTGGCTCCAAGTGAGCCCACATCCTTGACCAACACCTTGTGCACCATGTTGATGTCCATCCAATCCAACTTGACCACGTTCAGCAAGATGAGAAGGTGCTAGATGTCCAGCGGGATGCATAGCCAGTGAAGGTGTAGTTGCCGACCCCTGCAAGGCTGGCATCGGAGGCACCGACCCTGTAGTCGCACCAGCTCCACTTGAGGCTGTGTGGTAGGACCGAATCTCCCCACCTTCACCTTCTTCTCCACGAAGTTTCTTCGCCTCTCTAACGAAGCTCTCTTCGGCCTCCTTCATGATGCGCAGTCTCAACTCCTCGACAGACTTTTCTGGGGACGGTTGAGACAACATCCCAATGGCCAAGGCCTTCACAGGACCTGCGCCATTCAGCGTCCCTTGGGCCTGCTCAGGACCCCCATGTAGAGCTCCTGCACCACGGGCCTGCCCAGGGCCTCCATGTAGAGCTCCAGCACCACAGGCCTGCACAGGGCCTCCATGTAGAGCTCCAGCACCACAGGCCTGCACAGGGCCAGCACTACCGCGGGCAGCCTGCCCAGGGCTCGCACCAGAATGACCATGTCCAGCAACCCCATAGCCAGCAGGGCCAAACGTCACAGGTGCCCCGGCAAGAGGCGGCAAGGATTCTGGTCTTGCCACATCAGCGACCTGTTCCAGAACTGCAGCTCGCTGAACTCCAGCGCTCCAAAAGGCATTGACTCCAGGAGGCACTGCCATTACCCCAGCGCCACCTCGCTCTTGGCCAAACAGGCCAGTAGATGCCACCAGCAAGGACGTCCCATCACGGTGCACGAACCCTTGTTCCCGGCCAGCATCACTAGAAAGGTTCCGAGCCAGCTCCAAACCAGCTCCAAACCAGCTCCAGCAGCACTAGGTCCTCCATGAAGCCCTCGTTCAGCTGCCACGGCAGGGCGAATGTCATCATCTTCGTCCAGCCTTCGTCGAAACACCGTCTGAGCTTCATCCTGCCCAGACTCATGAAACAGCGGAGCAAGAAGGCCATCAGGTCCTAGAGGTTCTGCATCAAGTTGGAGTGAGGTCACATGCCCTTGTGGTCCTTCAGTTCCACCTTGTCCCCGACCTTCATCTCGTCGTGGCTCTGGCGTCGAAGCAGCCACGTCCCCCTCGGTCACCTTCAGTCGTCGGACCTCGGGCACTTGGGGAACTTCCAGCTTTGACCTCCTCTCCATCTCGATCAGCCTATCCAAGCGCTGATCTGCCGTCTCGTGGTGCTGCCGGCGCCTGCGCTCCATCACGGCACCGCACACCCAAGCCAGTGAAGGCTTGGGCTCATAACCTGCGAAAGGCAGGTGCAAAAAGTCTGCCCTTTTCTTGAGCCATGTGCAAACGGTCATCCTTGTGCAGGGGCCATGCAATGAACGGTCGTCCAACAAGCATGCCAGTCCTACAGTAGACAGCACTTCTTGATTTGTGCGTGTCATTCTTTGAAAACGGCACCACAGATACATTTCCCGTGCTGTCCAACGGCTGCGCCTGTTGATTCCGCCACTCGTCACGGGTGTGGCAGGGAACCCAGCGGTGGTGGCTGAGCCAAGCGCTGCAGAGTCTGGAGGCTGGGTAGAAGCACCTTGATTCAATCTAGGTGATGATAGGAACGTGCCCACCGAAGACAATAACTAGGGTTCCAATCATTATACCGTAGCTGGTATAAAAACAAATATAAAACTTGTATAAGTTATAGTTATAACTATGTTCTTAAAGTATGTTTACTCAAAAGATCTGAAAAGCAAAGGAACAAAGCAAACTAAGCACCTCAAAAAAATGATCATGTATATCTTCAGAAGGGCTAGACGGAAACAAAACAAATTGTGGCTCAACTCTTCAACCGGGTAGGCTGCCCAACCGGCTTCTAGATGACGATAGCCTATAGCTTCAACATGCTCACGCCGACATGGAACTCGGATGAATTGGGTCACCAAAAAAGTGCAACCAAATTTTGGAATCATGGCCGGGGTTCCTGTGCAACAAACTGATTTTTCATTCTGGGCCATGGTTGGAGTTCACCGTTGCAATAAACATTATCAAACATCATCTTGGCCTGACCCTCATAGCATCCTTTCCACCAGTATGGGTCCAGCTCAGACGGTGGGTTCTCAACATGGTTTCACCTGCCTGGCAAAACATTAGCCAGCTATAGCCAGCCTAGATCATCATCACCACTACTACCATCATCATCATCATCATCATCAGCAGCAGCAGCACTACCATCCTCATCCCACTCAGGATGCAGTGCAAAGGAATGAACACAAATGCCTGGCTGAATTATGGTAATTTTCTAACCTGAAATAGCTACTATCATACGGCGTCATACGACCATTGGGATCCATTGGGGATAATTTTCCCTTACAATTCCCATCATTCCAGTGACGCTTAGCCAAATGAATCAGTGAACCATACCTGCATTCTGCGCCAGAACTGTGGTTTTAGTATCGGCACAGGACGCCCTCATACCGTGGCCCGGCCTCAATGTCTGGCAAAGGCCTCCCAGCTGCAGTAAGCCCCAGGAGATTCACATCGAAGTGTCAGCTAAAAACAACCACTGGAAATAACGGAAACATACACAAACATGGACGACTGTCTGGGGTATTTGTAGACTTCCATAATTCCAAGAACATCAGCACTGACCAGTCAGGGTTCCACAAACGGCAAAAGGTCGGACATCTTAAGCCTGAAACGACCAGTGTGGTCGGACATGCGCATGAGTCCTAAACGGGGACTTGTTTGAAAAAAACAACTTCAAAGTTCCACTCTTGCACCAGTCATTTTCTTCAGAGTATGTCAAACAAGACGGCGCAAAAAAAAGGTGTGCTTACACAAAGCTCCAAGAGGATCCAAGAAGTAGTTACATAACGTTACATACATGTTACATGCATAACTAGGAGGAGGAGGAGGAGATATTGAGTTAGACTCTCATCTATGGCCAGTCACCGAATCCCCCGAGCAGTTCATGTAACTTTTTCTCAGTGCGCAGAGTTTCTCCCAAGGGGCGCTGGTGAAAGCGATGAAATTCAGCTCACCCAGCGATGCTTCCTCTGTAGTCTGTCAATCCCTTGGTGGAAGAGCCATACAAGCTCCTAAAAAAACTAAAAAACAAAGAATGAGTTCATGGCTGCAATCAATCCAGCATCCTCTCCTTGCGGGTGGGCCCCTAACACAAATCCAAACATGTTTAAGAACCCTGTAATATCAATCAGCGTCCAGTTGAAGAAGTGATGGGCAATCTGTACGTAACTCATGTGAGTGATGGCTAGAATTCTTTCAGAACATCCTGGGTGATGCTTGGCCGATGAGAACTTGAAGCTTCCGCATCTTTCATCTTTGCACATTCCCCGCAAGGCTGGGCAATCTACACTCATCTCATATCATATCCACCATATCCAAATATGTCCAAATATGTCCAAATCAGAAATACCCTCCGGCAATCCAACGTGGCAATAGAAAATCTCCCACTTATAATTGGTTTTCCCTTGAGCAACTCCATTTTGTTCGTGGATTTCCCGGCCAGCCACGTTTGATTACCGGAGGGTAACCAGGTTGGGAGCTTCCCTGACCCTTGGCGCTGAGATAGTCATGGGCCGGGGTGAATTGAAGCAGGCCGCAGTGGAGGCCGCAGGCGGCCGCAGGCTCTCAGGAAATGGGGCAATCATCTACAACATACCTTCCTGCGAGCGTAAAGGAACATCCCGTGCTGTAAATCCCTGGAGTTGGTGTGAATGTGTTTGTGTGTGCATCCTTCCCCTCAGGTAATTTTGTACACCGATGAAATCACGAGAAAAGCTGATAACCCCTACAAAAAATGGTTTGGAATCTATGTGAATCTTTCTTCTGGATCGGGATAAGCTAAATTCCGGTTCCAAGACTCCAGAATTCTACCCATAATTGTGGAGGGGTTCTTTGTGGTATGCGCCCGGAAATCCAGTGGTCCAAACCTACCTGGGTGAAACATGTCTGTGAAAAATGTGAAGCATGGTTTTTGCATCTTTGAAGCCAAGCCCAATGCAGCTGGAGCTACCACGAAAGGAAAGCCAGCTGGCATGATGGGCGTGACTATAGTTTTTTTAGGACCTCGGACCAAAAAAACAAATTTATTATACGCTGTATTGTTGTTTACCAACTGCCTTGGTGAACGCCCAATATGTTTGCTGATAAAACAACACATTCGGATTTGCGCTTACGAATGCCTACAGCAACCCAACTCATAATGCGGTCTAAGGTGTTTGTATGTTTGGTATGCTTACTGAAGCCTTGAAACCTACCCATATATTGTATCAGAAAACCAATCCAGTGGCCTCATAGCTATCTTCAACTGTCAGGATCCAACAAGGGCGTGATCCCCAGTGGTGTCCTTGCTTGAAGTTCTGGTACTCCTCTGGGAAAAGAACCTCAATGGCACGCTTTGGGGCAGATCCAAAAAACCCTTGACACAGCGGCCACAATGGGAGAGTCCTCCAGCCAAGTCACTGGCCGCGGCATGGGCTGAGACACATCACCGTGTAGAGCTTCTTGGAGCGTGCGAAGGCCCAGGGTTCCTCGGTCAAATCCCGAACTGGAGCTTGAAGTGGAAAAATCATCGAGCTAAATGGTGGATTTATGTGTTTTTCTTTAATTTTCCATGGTAACCATGTATTCTTCAAATCGACTCGGTTTCGTTGTTCTTATCACCAAAATGGATTCACATGGATCCATGTATGTGTTATGCTGAACAACAGTTGGATATCCACACGCCAAACAAACCAGAAACAACCTCGAACAATTCCAACAACCGGAAATATGCAGAGTCACCAGCTCAAAAACAACAATCTGCGATGAAACCGGAAGTGGTTCGCAAGGGACAAAACTACAAGCTGTACCTAGATTTTGTGGGTTCAACATGGTTCACCCCCCTGTCATTCCATGTCATTCAATTTATACTGCTCGGTCAGGGTTCATCCCCTTCAAACAGGCTTCAAACAGCAAATCCAAGATGCCAAATCCAATCCGAGATGCCAGTGCAGTTGAAACTCCTCTGGCTCATTTAGTTGGATCTGCCCATGACCAAACCGCTGGAGCAGCTCGCCATAGTTATATAATGTTATATATAGTTAGCCCCCACGAAATCCGCATGGCATCATTTTACTTGGTTAAATCGCAAATCTGAATATTTCAATTAGGTGAATCCCTTGCGAATTCGCCATTTTGGTTGGTGAACAATTCCCATTTTTTTTGGTCAAAATCCCAATGTTTCTTGGTTCCCAATGGCCATAGAAAGCTCGAGGTCCAAGGCGCGACCCCAAATGTCTTGATCCGCTTCGTAGGACGGGTTCACCTCATTGAAAGGCAAACCTTGAGGACCGCCGCCACGAGCAGAGACCACGACCCGTTCCTGGAAAAACGAGCGGAGAAATCATGGCAATTGAAGCAACAAACATGGGGATTTCACCAAGAATTGGGGGTTCAGCACTAAAAAAATTGATTTTAGAAGACTAATGGGATTTGCCGATTTGCCAAGCAGAGATAATACAATGGGGGATTTGAACATACTAAAAACTAAGACGTAAGCCCATATATGCTCCATGTATGGTATTTTTAGCCACATGTGGGGCATTCTTGTGGTAAATGTAGGTAAATAAATATATAGTTGAACATATTCTATACATGGAGCATCTGGATAATGTTTAAAACTGCAAATGTTTAAAAACTGAGACATCTTGAAGATGGAGTTTATGGGTGTGTCTGAACATGGGGTATATAATAGTACAGTCCAGTATTATATCCCATACAGCATCATATCTGGTAACAAGTGGTTAAGTACTTCAAATTAGCAACTGGCTAAGCCCCTGCCCCTCATAAAGACTCCCCCGATTCCTCCAGAACACTGAACAAATACCTAGGACACAATGAGCACATTCAATCGCTGCACCTATGGGTTGCTAATGGTTGTTGCACAAAATCAAACTGAATCATGATGTATTTGATTGCTGCTGGATCAAATGATTCTGAGCATTTATTACTTTACAACAACAAACTAACGAAAGTGAGAACCTCAAACGTTGACCCTCAGCTCTACCGTGTTCGTCTTAAGCGCCCTCCGAAAATCTTCAAAGCATGTCCAAAACCTTGCTATTGTTTGATCGAGTCCCGCTAGGGGATGCGCATCTCACGAGACACATATGATGACTGTGTTCGTGATGACTGCACAGTGAAACACATAATTATAGTAATTATATAATAAGTGGCATAGTTCTTAACCATAGCTGCCATAGATCCTGTAGAACACTCCCAGAATCACAACTTTTCAGTTAAACTTTAGGGTCTTGCCTTGCCGCTTTGGAGGTTTACCCTCTGGTCAACTAACAAACCTATTGAACATTCCCCCTTATTCAGGGCTAAATCACCTATAAATCACCTATAAATCACCAATGTTTTCATAGATTTCACATGATTTCACCATTTTTCACAGGTCAATCATGGTAAATCACCAGAAAACATCTATAGATGGCCATTTTTCATCATTTTTCACTAGCAAACCATTCGCAAAGCAGCAGCAAAATTCGATGGATCCCATGGATCCCCATGGATCCCCGGGATCCGACCTGCACGGGCAACGTGAGCCCCGCGTGGCGCATCTTTCGCTCCCAGGCCACGATGGCCTCGGAGGAGAGTTCCTTTTGGATCGCCTGACCTCGGGGCGCAGCTGGATCCTGTGGGAAAACACCGGAAAACCATGGGAAAATGGTGGAAAAATGTAGGAAAACCCTGGGAAGATGATGGAAAACTATAGGGAAAAACCATGGGAACATTGATGAGTTTAATCAACAATTGGGATTCAATCGGATTTAGAGCTGATTGATGATAGCGAAGTTGGTGAACGTGGCGATTTCTGGAAATCCCCGAACTAAATGCTGGGTTTAATCGGAACATCATCGTCGTAGAGAATTTTTCCAGCAAGCCACGATTACTGGAAGGAATAGTGCTTCTCTATCTTTGGTTTTGGTGGGAGAAATCGGGTTAATCCACTTATGACTGGGGTGAACTAGCTTACTCGCTTAAGTGGGATGAACCACCGGGTAAAAACAGGGGCTGATATTCAGATGGTTAGATGAAAGTCACTCATGTGTATATTCCGGAAAAGCTGAGGTTGTGTTTTTACTTACTATATGCTAAACAATTTGCTTGGGGGCAGGTGAGCAGCAACTAGAGGGGTTGGCCGACCAACGAACATCAAGGAAACCATCAAGCAGCATTGTTGGTGTCCCCAAATCTTCCAATTATTGTTGGTTACATGTTGGCTATACCGGCAATACCCATATTTTGATCTATTTTTCAGGTTACCCCGATCCAAAACCATGTTTTTTTCCGTACGTCGCAGTGATGTTGTTACAATTTACCCTTTCACGCATACCTATGATCACCTGGATTACATATCGTGTGATTGATTAACTTACCTTTGGTGGTTTCAGCATCCCATTTCTTTGGTTGTTAGCTCACCTTCAGAGGCTGATATCCCATGAGTGGTCCGTATTAAAAATGACCAGAAACATTGTTACGGTTCGATATCCCCATTATCCCAATGTTGGTTAAACCCATTCCAGCATTATCATGCATTATCCCCATGGATGATCTCCAGTATCACCTCTTAAGCTTACAGTTTTGACATCTCCACTATCAATGGGATAATCATGGCTTATCCCAACAGTATTCTCATGTATTCTCCCCATCAGTGGCTTAAGCCATCCATTATAATACCGCCATGTATATAAGAGTGTAACCAAAGATCCCAATGCGGCTGGGAAAATCTAATGGATACCCTCTGGTAAACTAACATAACTATGGAAAGTCACCCTTTTTTAATGGGAAAACTCACTCTAAATGGCCATTTTCAATAGCTATGTTAATATACCAGTGGCTACCCCACGTCCAGCACATCTTTTCTGCACTCCCGCTGCGTGGCGTGGCCACGGCGTCCTTTGCCGCCGCGGCTTCTCCCGGATGGCGCAGTGGCCACGTGCTGAGCTGCACAGCGCTGGCCACTGCACCTGCGACCATCGAAAGGCACCAGCCCGTCATTTCGAGACCATAGGCGATGACGGAGCTGCCACTACCTGGGTCGAAAACATGGGAAGAAACCGTGGTTTGGTGATCAGGTTGGCTGGATTTGGGGGTTTAGAAACAAGATCCATAAAAGCGACCTTTGCCAGAATCTAAAGCCTTTCAAACCACATGATTTTGAGATTTAGACCATTCTTGATACCCCATATGCGAATCATGGTGCTGGAATATTTACCAACATTTACCTTAAAAATCACCCAAATGTAGGTAAATATACCATACATTGAGCATAATATGGGTACTGAATCCTCAACATCTTTTCAGGTCGAGTCCACGACCCAGGATGACCCAGGCACCCGAAATGCGCAGCTCGTGGCCCAGGAATTCCAGATTCAACCCCACCAAATTCCCCAAAACGTAGGCACTGAGGCCGCCTGAGTGCTATGGCTGCTAGGGACCCTGGAGGTGGGATGTTTGTGAAAGGACATGAGGGTCTTAACACTAATCGTGTGTAATAATATGTAAACATGGGAATGATTACTGTAACTGTAACTATTTCCAAGATACTGATAGTTATACTTGACACTACTCAATACACGGTAATTAGTAACTTTTTTAAGTGCATCATCGTTATCAATATGAATAATATTCCTAATTCGTGTTCCATTGATGAACACACACACACACACGGATGCGCTCCAGGGGCTGGCTTCGGCTCCATATTTGAAACCACTATGGTCTGCAGATCTAGCCAGAATTGCTGGTTTTACACCCCATGAATCCCCTGGTCATATAGTCATACCCTGAATTCTTCCGAATCCTCTCCGATAATCAACCAAATGGCAATGGAAAACCAGCCATCAATGGAAGAACCCTGCAGCAAAAATACGTGAAGCCAGCAGCACATACAGAGTCACCCATGTTTCTTCGCTTATCACTTATCACCAGATGTGCCTGTTTCACTCAATGAAACTCCCTATCTTTCATCTTCCTTGGATTGTTTGTGTCTCAGTTTTGTATAAAACTCCTAGCAGCTCCCTATCGTTCATCTGGGGGTTGTCGAACTCGTTGAAGCAGCCATCTGAGGCGCCCGACCCAGGGTCGCCAGCACGTTCCCCAGCAGTTGACTGAGGCCCAGCAGCCAATGACCAGCAGAGATGGTGCAGAAACTCCCCCCAATGCCATTCACTGCCTGTGCAAACCCCCATGCCTTTGGTATTTGAAATAAACATATACAAGCCATAAGTTGGTGTATAAAGTCACTATATGGATATATCTGCCATCATTTCTTTTTGTGTTTCATTATTGATCTTGGTTACTTGCATTAATTATTCATCCATTATACTGAGTGTGTGTGTGTGTATCCGAAAGTGGTCGATGTACCCCATTTACCTCAATGTACGGTTGATTAACCCCCTATTTCAATGGGACTATGATGATATTGGTATTTCATAGGGGTATCATATTTTACAACAAGTCCAAGTTGCTTGGGGGTGACAGCTCACGGCAGAACCCAAGATATAGTGAGAGAAAATTGTATATCATGATGTTCGATGTTGGAGTGTTCAACTAAGTTACTGACTGACTGACCGACCGCCTGACTGACTGACTGACTGACCGAGAAACTAACTAACGACAAGAGTAAGAGTATGTATTTATATATATATACCATCAGGTCTCCCTGCCCGGGCTATATCCATATTTCCGCACTCTGGATTCTTCAGTTTGGATCCATGTGCTCAACCACTTTCCTGTCGAAGGAACCGTCACCAACACATCCATGGGCGCCGAATGCAGCACTTGCGAGGCAGGAGGAGGTGGTAACACCACGTGGCTCGGGGCGATGACCATGTAGCCAGCATCAAACCTAGAGCTTCACCACCCAACCCAGGGATTCGCAACGATCTATTTGGAGGACAAATATAGCGGATTTATATAATTCTGCAGATGTGAATGGATCATGTGGTTTCTAGTTTCTCATTTGCTTTACCACTGGGAGTCATGAATATTCATCGAAATAGCATGAAATAGACATGAAACGATGCCCGATCATCATGATTGGCATAGCCCAACTCAACAATACCGGGCCTAAAGCATCATCAGAAGGTTGGACCCTGCTGATTTCTCCGGGGCTGGTCCTTTATGGCTTGCTATCAGCCATCCAAGTGGACGGAAATCGTGGTTAACATGTTAACCCAATCACTCTGGGAAACTATGTCACCACGTGTGAACCAGTGAACTCTCCTGCTCACATATGTTGATCCCCGACTACAACCTTGCGCAGTCTTGCTTTGTTCATCAAGAATTCCTGTGTCAATGGCTGGGAAACAAGACATCGACTTCACCCAACATGCCCTTCCCAAAACCTCATCTTTCCCCATATTCATCAATACTAATCCACATTCACCACCCTTTGCCGGCCATCCTCACTTTTCCAACCTCCCAGGCGAGTGGCACAGGCAGCCAGCATCCCAGCTTGGAGTTTCTGCACTGCCGCAGGCAGTGCCATTCCTCTTCGATTTGCTGAAACAAATGGCACACACATATTCCCCATAGATTCCCCACATGATTTCATACAAGAAAAATCAAAAGTAAACCAATTTCAATCACATTCCCCGTAAGACATGTAGAATCATCTACATCTTCCAGAGATTTTTGCAGAAAATCCGTGGGATCCTCTCTGAACTGCTCCGCCGGCATCGTCTCATCAAAGCCCCAGGGGTTGCGCAGGCGTACTGCGACAATGTGGCCGTCGTCCCGGTCGAAGCCCAGGAGATTCACCAAGTGACCCGTGCCGTGACCTTGGACCGAAGATCTGTGGAGCTCCCGTTGGGGATAGAAAAAAACCATAGGAAAATGGTGATTTAACCAGCCAACATGGTGATTTGATAGGATTCACAATTGATTTATGATCAACATAGCTTCAAGAACTATGGTTTGGGATACTTGTTATAGCCTATAGCATTCATGGGAGATATTATAAGTACATATAAACACTTATAATGAGTTGGATTATAACCCCCATTAACTATAAAATATATATATATATAATTATATATATAATTATATATATAATTATATATATATATGACAAACATGCAGAAAGCCTAGTTATTTGAGTTCTAACCGATTCTAACCCAACGGATTGCGAACGACTTTTGGCACCACCTGATAGGAAATCTATGGAGGATGACTCCCATCGATGGAGCCATAGGTTTCCCACAGCCAGATACTTCATTGGGATTAAGGCGCATCTAAGGACAACCGTTAATGCATTAATGGTTACCCTAATATATGAGGCTTTATGAGGTTTTCTCAAGTTACGGTGGCTTTCAATACTAAAATGGTCTAGGTTCTTGGTACATGGTGGACCATTTGAATTTGAACATCAAGAACTCAAGGATTAAACAAGAAATCTTGGCAATTGAAATGGAGGCAATGAACCATGGCAATGGAATTTCATGGGATTTCTGCGGAGTAACTTTTAATGGGAAAATCATCGAACTATCACAGCTATAGCCTTTTGTTAATTAACCAAGGGAATTTTCTACATGCAAGAACCCAGTGGGGACATAATGGGTACATAATATGGGAATTTCATTACGCCAAAAAGCAAGCTACACTTGACATGACCCAATGGATATCATGTATATAATACTGTATATATGAATTATTCATGTACTAGTATAATGTATGCATCTACATGGAGGTAGCTGCAAGCTCAAAGCATCAAGGAAGCATCACTCACATGCGTCAAAGAAAACATACTCTCCACCAGCCATATGGGTAAGCTTCTAAACTTGACATAACTTGACACCGCATCCGGAGGGGTCCCGGGGTCCCGATAGATGTCGGGTCTCGATAGTTGATCATCACAATGACCACACATCCCTTTCTCAAATGCTCAGCTAAACCTTCCAGAGTTCCTGAGCCGAAGCCATGGATGATCATGCCAACATCCAGTGGTGCCAGCGGGGTGTCTTAAAGCAGTACCTGGGAGAACCCACAAATTAGAGACTTATTCACCAGGCTTCAACACTTGTGATCCCTTCAAATAGGAGCTGTCAGTGTTGGACACCCTCCGTTAAGAATGCGCACGTGCCATTCCTAGGGAATTTTCAGCAGCTAAGCAAAAAAAGCAGGACCTAGTGGTCATTGATTTGCGGGTTCTTCTGACATTCACCCTTGCCCATGTTTTTCTTCAACAATAATGTCCACAGGTGACAGGGTGGTTTGTTCCATTTGGCACTTCACAACTCTAGGGGTCATGTTGTCGTCTAGTCACTAGAGTCTACTCACCAAGCTTGGCTTCGCAGATTGGGTAACTCAATTCCCATGGGGTGACAAATATGGGAAACCCCATAGTTTTGGGGATAACACCTTATTTAAAATCCACCCGCCCTACGAGGTGGGCTTGGGCCCCTCCCAACCAGTTATATCATGATTTATAAACACATCTAACTGTCGGTGTATCCATACCATCAACCCTACCGAAAACTCCCCGAAGAGTCTCCGTGGCAATAGCTCTGCGCGTTGATCCCTAAGCGCTTGGCAAAGTTCGCCATGGCAAAGGGCACCTCGCCCAAATCCACCCGGCCGTAGGGATGGATCCGTTCCTCCTCAGGCGCAGTTCCAGGTTAGAACGGTTATCACGGTGATATCATGCGGTTAAAACAAAAATAAACTACCCATGACATCAATGACTGGGAATGGTTTCCAACTTCTGGAGCTTACATCTTCTAATCCCATGGTGTTTATCATGTTTTATCTGTATTTTCATAGCTGCCTGTAGCCCTAAAGCTTTGGAACATGAGGATAGGACAATTATGATCCAAATGTCCATTGGATTTGGGAGGTTTTGCCCTAAAGATTTAGTCAAACCCAAGTTTCGCTGGAGAAATGTTGGATTTCAAAAAAAATGTGGTGCAAAAGATCCAACAATGAAGGCTTTGAGCGGCCGGCAAAGGAACAAACCACCGGCTATAAACACATTCTTAAAAGCGCAGAAATGGCATCAAGGTCTCTAATGAAATAGCCATGTCACCATGTGCGTAGTGACCTAGTGCAAGGCAAAGTAGGCAAAAAAAAAAGCAACCCCCATCGAAACACACCAGAAGTCATACGTCAATCACCACTGCGACATGTAAAGAACACGCAATTAAGCAAAACAAAGTTGTTGTCAATCGTTTTTATCTTTACATATGCACATGCATATATATATATATAGCGACGGACATATACTTAGAACATCATTTTTCCAAAATTTCGGAACCTCCTCTTAGAACATCAAAATTACCATACTTAGAACATCAGAAATGTTTCTAAGTACGCACTTAGAACATCAGAAAAAACATATACTTAGAACATCTCCTTTGATTTTTGCATACTTAGAACATTAAAACGCGCATATACTTAGAACATGTCCTGTTACTTTGGTAAATCTGCATATATACACACAAATACCTTGGTGAACACCATACTTAGAACACTGTCTCCCCTCACTGCTGCAGCATTCTATACCTTTTCTTCGGGAACAATATCCCAAGCAGTCTTCGCTGCAATGGGAAGGTCTCTAGTAATTTGTGGGTTTCCTACAGGGGGTAGTCAAAAAGTATAGGTTTCAACACTAAAATGAGCTAAAATGAATTATGTATAATTTTGAATGTATATGTATGGTTCCCATCGGTTCCCCACTGGGATGTTCTAAGTATGGCTTGGAAATGTTCTAAGTATAGGTTTTGGGTATGTTCTAACTACTTTTTTTGAAACCCATACTTAGAACATCCCCGCTGTGACGATTTTCAGATTTTTTTTTCCAAATGATGTTCTAAGTATTTGTCCGTCGCTATACATGTATTTGAAGTACTTTGTGTTGGCAGTCTGCTCTTGTTCATCCTTGAACGCATCCTTGATAGTGTGTCAAAATGATCTTTTTATAGCTAGCCGTCTAGCCGTGGCTCCAAGCTTCAATGAGTCTGGGATCCATGGGAAGTCCCTGAAATTCCAGGCACATCGACAAACACGTGGAGCCACAGGAGGGTCCAATCTGCTTCAAAGCGGGCATTCGCGCCAGAATCTCTTCCGTAGCCCTCCTGGCCAGGGGTATGCCGTGCTCATGGGACCATGGGAGTGTCGAGATGGAAATGGCTTAGCGGCTATACATAAAGGCAGGTTGTGAATGTGTATGATTCTTCCAGGACTTGCTTAAGATGAACACATCTTTAAGTAATGGTTGCCATATATATTGAAATAATTGAAGAAAGGTGGTGTAAGGCAAACAAGGATTTCATCTTTCCCTAAGCTTGTCAATACCGCCTCTTAAACTGGAACTTGACAGGTTTCCATACTCAGCCCTGGGGCCGGTTTCGTTGAGGCCCGCACTCCGCAGTCACGCATGAACCCCCAAACAATGCCAAAAAAAATCATGGGTCTTGATGTAATGAATGAATATAACGAGACCAAACGTAGAAGGAAGTAAACCAAAAGTAAACCCAGGCGCTTTTCAGAGTCAATCAGGCTGACGTCTGTCACATCCATCCGCGAGTACAGAACACACGCCTGACCCACCCCGCAGCTGGCTTCAAGGGTGGTTGTACTGGGTGTACATCCCGGCTAGTAAGTGATTCATAACCATATATCACATATATATATATGTGTACATTATATAACTATATATCATATATCCATAATTATCATATATTATCCATGTATATATATATATATATAACATTGCTAAAACTCCTAACATATTTGCATATACATTATATACAAGATATTCTCCAAGGTTACTCACTGTGAGTCAGCTTTCAAGGGTCGGTGGTGCTGGGCCAGCGCTTGGAATTCAAACAACCTGCAATCCCGAGCTGCAACCCAGTGCACCGGGCATCAGCCATGTCGAGTCAAAAAAAATGCTTTCCATATTTTAACAATAGCTATGGAACATCGCAATTTCGAATAGGTAGATCATCATAAAACATCATAAAACATTTATACATGGGCCATTTTCCATAGTGATACCCTCTGGTAAACTAACATAGCTATGGAAAATCACAATTTTTAATGGGTAAATCAACTATAAATGGCCATCTCCAATAGCAAACTGTTAGTTTACCAGAGGGTAGCTATGCTAAATCACCAGCGTTTCCACCATGACCTCCGTCCCCCCCTTGATCTCAGCCGCTATGGCCACCGCTGTCCCAGTGCTCCGGCGACGCACCATCCATGGCACGGATGGAGGGCGCTCGGCAAACTTTCAAGCCCGCGGCCATGGTTTGGACCACTTATACACACATTTCCTTTAGGGGCAAAGCTTACATATCCAAATATATCCAAATAAGTATCCAATTAATATCAACTATACTATTATCTCCAGATATATCACTTGGATCAATTTAATGGTTATGTTTACTGAGTCTAACGCTTTGGGATCGTCACGAAAGTGGCGTTTTCCAACAAAGAATTTCTTGGATGTTCACACTGGGTAGCAAATATCCTTGGGAGGTTATTACCATGGGATCCCTTCAACTAGCTACCAGTAGTATCCATCTCCAGCAACTTAGCAACTATTCGTACTACCAATCACTGAGATAAGTACAGTTGGCGGGGTGTACTAAACATATCTAGCCATGGTCCTTCACCACGTCTTGTTCACTGGAATTATTCTCCGAGTATCCATTCACCAACCCATTCCCCGAGGTGTATCCCTTTCTTATTTATGTTTATAGTGTTTTGTTTAAGTCCCACTTCTACACATGTATTTTTGCTACCATCCACATTTTTGCGGTTAAGTCTTGATGTTTAACAGCTCAATATAATGAGTATATAAATCATATTAAATTGGATTAAAAGTTAAAACCTATTGGGCCCAATATTTCGAAGGAATGACCATCCACTTCCCGGCCACAACGCGGGGTTCTCCAAAAGCCAGGGCTGTGTGCCAAGGCACCATCTTCGGCCTTTTTCTGCCTTGATGGCGGGCACAATTTGGTGGGTTCCATAAATGGTTCATAGCCGGATAGAGTGTTTTCATGGAAAACCCTATTGCAAAAGATTGATGACATGGGCCCTATTTCAGGAAACCCCCATTTGGGGATATGTTGATGTGATTTTATACCCCAACATCGCCGCTTCACTAAGGAACATGATGACTACAAAACCATTTGCCAACCAAACCGTGGTTTGCCTGGAGCCTGGCAATTTATTGACAATGCTGGTTTCATGTCGAGGACTTGGGCTATCTTCAGCTTTGAAAACGGCCACCAGCCACTAGCCACACTCACCCCTCAGTCCACTACATAGCTTTTAATTACACGTATTTTACCATTTTTTCTTCCGGGGTTCCAACAATTTCATACAATTTCGACCCGGAAGTCATCCAAAAATCGTCATTTTTGCATCGACAATCCCATGCTTTTCCGCATGCTTCAGGCTCCCCCATGGTACACTATCGTACACTCCACCGCTTCCGACCGCCCGGCGGCTGGATTTCAAAAGCAATGGCCGGATCCAGCACCGCGTTGTACTTGGGATCCAGGCAATACCTGGAGATCCACGGAAGAAAGTGGGAACAACTCGGAATAGGAACGACAAAATCACCCAGTATAAGGTATAGAGCATCGTAAAATTCATAAGCTAATGGATGCTAGTGGATGCTAATGGCAAAACCAGTTCATGCTCATACCATCAAAGTACTGGGAATATCATGAATATCATATGAATATCATATCACGATATATAGTGTACACATGTGTGCACCGTGTGCTAATACGATACAGCATCATTCCCGGCATCCCCTCAAGGGAAGACTCATCCAAGATGGGCCGTGTTTCACATGGCACCCACTGTGCCAAGAGGCATCATTCTTGCCACCCTCCAATCAATCTGGTCCTCCAGGGCCGGGTGAAGCTATGCCTGGTTATGATTGGTTGATGGGTTGTTGTTGTGGCGAATCCCAAGAAATGCATGTCAGACTTGCCTATCAAACCGGTATGATCCGGTATGGCTACTCCCCAAATATGGTCGGCACCAAATTAAACAGCCTAGGGGGTTATTAATCCAAGGTTTACATGTTCACCAAAAAACACTTGCACACACTTGCAACATGGTCAATCTTTGGTAGTCCACAAAACAAAATCTTTTGCTGGTTATGGTTTGTTTCCATTTATTGCAAAAAACTGGATGGAAAGTCCTAGGGAAATGATGGGTCAAAACTGTAGCCCTTCTGTTAACATCAAAATAGCTGGTAAATGGATCTTCATCCCCGTTCACGAATGCTACTGGTTGGTGGATTTTAACAATCTGGAACATATTAGTCAGTTGGGAAGGATTATCCCATATATTATGGAAAATAGAAAATGTTCCAAACCACCAAGCAGTTATAATCTTATAGGTATACCAATAGCCAACTGTTCATATAGGTATCAATATATCAATACGTTCTTATTGGTATAACGGGGATGAACATATACTTATACTGGTTGGTGGTTTCAACCCCTCTGAAAAATATGAGTTCGTCAGTTGGGATTATTATCCCCAATATATGGAAAATCATAAAATTCATGTTCCAAACCACCAACCTGCTATAGATTTTACCCCCATTCATCAGGTATTAATCACTATTCATCACTATTAACCACTATTAGCCACCAACTATATACTATAGTTCCAAACCACTGGTGGCTATTAACCACTATACTATTAACCACTATTAACCACCACTATTGATCCATAGCCAATCTGGGAAACACATCGCTCCAGATTCTCCACCGCTGCGCGGGACATGGGCTGGTCGTAGCTGGAGCCCAGTCCCACAGGGACGCCCGCCGGGACAGCGACGGCGTCAACGGTGCCTTGCTGGCCTTGCCTCGGCCCACCAAAAACGATTTCATGGGGGATTTTATAGGGGATTTCATGGGAATTTGCCAAGAAAAATGTTGATTTAATGATGTTTAATGGTGATGTAAGGGTGTTATCATGAGAAAAATGCAGATTTCATAGGAATCTTATGGATGTTTCTTGAAGATTTAAGATGATGTACCCTCTGGCAAATTTAACATAGCTATAGAGATTCACCATTATAAACTAGTAGGAAGATCATGGTTTATAGGAATTCAACATATAAAATGCTTCAACATGAGGTTTCGAATGTTGCCAATTCTATATATATATATTCTATATCAACCAGTGTAGGAACACTGAATAGCTTTGCAAACTGCAACCATCCGAAATCGGATATTCACCATCAAACATGAGACAGAGTCCGAACATACTCAGAAAATAATTGACAATATGGTTGGCCAATGATGCTAATGATTTATGTGGCACATCCCCAGTTATTGTTATCAACCATAGAAGGAAGGTACGACATGAATCATCCTCATCAATTAAGGCACAACATTAGACAACTATTTGGGCATGGTTTCTTGTTGTGGACAACCAGCAATGGCGCCACTATCTGGTCAGTATGATTAATCACTCAATGAACAAAGGCGTAAAACAAACTCAAATGAAAGCACCAACCTCAGCACAAAAAAAACCTCATATAATTCCACATGCTGTGAACAGTAAAGGATTTCAATTGACTGGTTGATGGTTTCAAACCCTCTGAAAAATATTAGTCAATGGGAAGGATTATCCCATATATTATGGAAAATAAAAAAAATGTTTGAGGCCACCAACCAGATTGATTGTTCTTCACTCATGTGAGCCCGCTATTTGGAGAACACAAAAATAATTGCCTTATGAAACCTGGTTTCACACTCTTTCCCATCATGCCCTATGGCACTATGGATCCAAATATGAGAAGGTACTTGGCCACCTAGAAGAATACCCCAAACACTGTAAATACTCCCTCAGAATGCATTTGGATCCTTGCTGTTGCTATGCAATACTGTAATCGCCATAAATTTCATGAAAATGCTGGCTGCCCCCCCCAGTTGCGCCCCCCCCGGATTGCAAGGTGGCACCAAAAATTAATAGCAGCTAGGTTATTAAGTTTTTTGGTTCCGGTTTGGAGGCGCGCACTGAAGACAAGGCGCGCAAATAATCACAAGCATGTGGTTTTGATATTAGATGGTTATTAAAGGTTTCTCTTCCATTTTGGAGCTCGCGCGTTGGAAATACAGCGCGCAAACACTCACGGGCAGGTGTTTTCTTATTAGCTGTTTATTAAGGGTTTCAGTTCCGTTTTGGAGCTCGAGCGTTGGAATCGCAGTGCGTAAACAGACATGGGCATATGCTTTCTTATTAGCTGGTTATTAAGGGATTCTGCTTTGGAAGATTTGAGAGCAAAAGGTTTGCAATTGAAGATTTGGCCTGTCATTATTTTATGAGGCGCATCGTGGGGAGGCAACCAGAATTCCGATTCGTATCCATTTACTTTGAAATTTTTTGGATCCCCAATGAATGTTTCACAGAAGGCTAACCCCTCCCGCCCCCTAGCCCCCCCCGCCTATAGTAGGCCTTAATTAAGGCCAAATTAAGGGTTGAGTGGTTTTCCCCAATTTTTGGTTCAAAGTGCTTAATTTGGCCTTAATTCTTTGATGGGATTACTGAATTGGCTTTCAAGGGTCTTTCCTACATTCATAGAATTTTGTCTTGGGTCAAAAGAGTAAACATGTGTACAAACAAAGACCCAAGTGAATTTTTGAACAAACAGAGGAACGCACCAAATCAAATTAAGATTTTAACCAAAAAAAAGGAAATTGAACGTTTCCAAGTTACGAATAAAGAACTGCGCTGAAGCGAACAAGCAACTATTTTGACTTTCACGCTTCAACGTTCGCAAGTTTCCAGATTAGACCCAATTAAACCCAACGAACAAAAACCACAAGGAAAAATGAAATTTTCCAAACCAAGACTAAATTAAGGGCCAATTAAGCTTCAAATGGTGGAAAAACACTGGGAAAATCAAAATTTCAAAATTAAGACCAAATTAAGGCCTAATTAAGGCCCAATTAAGGCCCAATTAAGGCCTAATTAAGGCTCAAATGGTGGAAAACACAGGGAAAACACAATTTTCCTAATTAAGGCCAAATTAAGGCCTAATAAGGCCTAATTAAGGCCTAATTAAGACTCAAATGGTGGAAAACACCGGGAAAACACAATTTTCCAAATTAAGACCAAATTAAAGCCTAATTAAATTAAGGCCCAATTAGAGCCTAATTAAGGCCTAATTAAGGCTCAAATGGTGAAAAACAAAGGGAAAACACAATTTTTTGA